TTTATTATGCAACAATTTAACATTTTATGTCTATTTATTTATTTTTGAAAGGATACGGAACTTGAAATTGCATATGAGAGGACCCTGATGCCTTAAATTAAGTCACTGATATTTCCTTACTTGCACTCCTTGGTGATAGTAAAATAATTAATTTACTAATTATTAAACTAATTATTTATAAGATAATTACATATACATGAAGTTTAATTTAGACCTTTATTTATTATTTTATGAAGTCAGATTGTGAAGTTTCAAAAAATTGAAGTTGACCAAAATATTAATGTCAACAATTAAAAATATTGTTCATTTGTCTAAATTACTCTTATTATTTTTAGATATCACTTTCGTAGATGTAAATATTATTCTTGTACACAGAAGTACCAATCTTATGTACATAGTTACATTTTACATAGTTACATTTTATTGTGTAGACCATGTCATCAAAATGGTTTGCAAAAGAAAGGTATATATACCTTCAATTTGTGCATAAAGTGTTACTTACTTCAAAAATAAAAAATAAAATAAAAATTAAAAAAAAAAATAGTAAAAGTCATTTGGACAAATAGAGAGTAAATTTTTTTATGGCTAGGTTAACATTTTAATTAATTTTTATTTTTTTCGAAACATCATAAAATGATAAATAATAGTCCAAATATTCATGTATGCATAATATATTATCTAATACAAGACAAGTTGCTAGTTTTTTAACTTGTTATAACCAAACAATCCAAACCGGCCCCGTCACTTTCTTTTTGTTCTTCCGTGCATGAGAAAGGCCAGAACCAGTGAACCACCATTGATCAATATTTGATTGAATAATGCGTTTTTGTTTTGGAGCACTGTCTGTACGTGTGTCTGCATATGTGTATACAAAACCGATCATCTTAGATTTGCTTTGCTTTGGCTATATATAGATATATATACACACGTCTATATATACAACATAATTTTGGTGTTGTCACCATGCACCACAAGACGATGCTTCCAACTAATAGGTGGATGAGTAAATGTATGACGCGGAGTTGTACAATTACGATAACATCATGATTATATATGGAGGACTCGAATATTATTGTCTCTCGCTGCAGGTGCATGTATGATCAGATCAGACTGTAGGTAGGTAGCTAGCTAGCTAGCTAGCATGGGGAGACTGACAAGGATGGTGATGTATATGCTCGGAAATATAGGCTTTTCTTCAGTAGTGGACATGTATATATATCAGCTTTGCCCACACTGTCTCGCACAAGATAAATGAACTTAAATGGTATATGTGTATGAGTGTGTGTGGGTGTGTGTGTACGTGTGTGTGATTATTGGCTAGCTAGCTAGTTTGATAATATATACTAATATATAGATAGTTAATGATCAATCAGTGTTTTATTATGTTGCTGAAATTAAGTGGCTAAGTGGTAGATTAGATTAATTAGCAGATAAATTTAACAATTTATATACTGATCAGAATTACAATGTGATAATATATATATATATATATTGGAGGTCTCATTGAATCATATATGCTGTATTGGAGCATTGGGGATCATAGCTTTTCTTTCTTGGAATCAATTCTAAGGAAGAATGCAATAACAACCACGCACTCTCTCATACTTTACTTTACCGCGGAAAAAAATAAAATAAAAAACAAAACATGCTATCTGTGTGTGTGTGTCTGAGAAACCATTACATAGTTGCGTGTTAGTGGAATGTTTTGACTTGAAACCAAACGATCAATCGTTTGCATTATTAAGTATTTAATTTCATTGTGTTGTTTTAACATTTAAAAATAAAAAAATAAAATAATAATAATAATAATAATAATAAAAACAGAGACACATTGTTTATATTTTTAAGGTTTCAGAAAGTATCATTTTTCAATTCTACGAACGCCAATTCTGGTTATGATAGTGAGGACTCCCTTTCTTGTATGTAGAATTTATATATTTTTGCATTTATCGGAAAAAAAAAAAGTTATATATTTTTGTCTCACAAACAGCTCTTTTTTTTTAAACAGCCCTTTAGCAATTAAACAATTAGTAGTGAATTAATGTGACATATATGATGCGACTGAATCCAAATTCGAGAAATGATTTTCATGAACCGTACTGTTTTCTCAAAAGATTTGTTAGCCCAAGTATAGCCTCGATCTACTAGGAATGAAATGAATTGTGATATTCACGTGTTTCTGTATACCATCTTTATGCATATACAACCATATATATATAGAGAGAGAGAGAGGGGTAATTTTTTTTAGAAGAAAAAAAATTAAAGAATACACACTCATGATTTCCTTTTATGAAAACATCGAATAAATTAAAATTCCCGACTATAGAATGCTTTCATGTAGGATCATTCGTTTGAAATGCTAAACGCTTGTCTATCGTTACTCTAAGTGAAAATGACTCGTTTTGTACAGAAAATATATTATTTCATTAGAAAAAGAACTTAAGAGAATCCTCACGCTCATAATTTTCTTTTATGAGAACATCATAACAAAGTAATAAATTAAAAGAAAATGCTTTTCAAGTTCAAACACTTATTTAAAATTCCCTTGAAATGCTTTCGTATAGAACCATTCAGATGAAATGTTAAGTGTTTGTCTATCTAAATGAAAATGACTCGTTTGGACAATAATATATCTCTTTCATGAGTTTAATATGTGTAGTGTGACGAATGTAATACATTGAACAAGGAGAAAAAAAGTGTGATTGGCTTCCGTCATTCTTTAATGAACAAGACAGATTCATTTGTAATATTGCTTCTCACCATGTATTGGGACTTTCTATTATCAAAGTGTCAAACGGCACAATTCATCCAACAATTCCCCCAAAATAAAAGGAGATAAGTCCTCTATGATTAAGTGGATGATATATTAATTTATTATACTGAAGAACACTAGTGTTGTTGTTCTCGAACAAAACAAAGTGTCTTTTTTTAGTAAGAAATGCATTGGACACCATCATTTGTGCTTCCGTCCAATCAAAATAATGGAGAAAGAAGACAAAACTGATGGTAGTCAAGCTAAAACATAAAAGAAGGTTTCAATAGGTACACATGGGCCCTCCTAATTTTTAGAGTTGACCTTGATATTGATAGTTCATAATATGTTTCAATGTTCAAAACAAATTAAATTTTGGTGGGATACCATTTGTGTCAGGATCATTGCTCTTCCAAAGAAAAATGGAGGACACTTGTCTAAATGCTTTTAATTTCAATTTCAATTTCATTGCTCTTCCCCAAATGGATACTATCAGGTGAATTCAATAATAGACACGTCCTGATATTTCATCATTCATTCTTTGAGTGAATTCAATAATAAAGTATGTTGGCGTTTTAATTTTCCTTCTCTTTTTAGAGTATGTTTAAAAGAGAATTTAATATTTCTCGATCGTAATTGATTATTAACTATTCAAATATTCTTGATTAGGCAACTCATATCATTCAGCACGATATTTTGATTTAAGAACTATTCAAGAATCTTTGGTTAAGCATTTCAAATCATCCATACACTTTGATATAAGATTTTAATTCTTACGACATTTACGCTTTTCTCTTTAACCAAATACACTCCTCTTTTAAAGTGAAATAGCACAAGTGTCCCTCACTTATATATATATATATATATATATATATATATATATATATATGAGTGCATTTGGTTAGAAGGGTAGTGCATTTACCATTATCCTCCCTTTTTTTTTTCTTTTTTTTTCATAAAGGTATCCAAAGAGGGTTTTTGGCTACTAGAGGAAGTCATGCATTATCAGCAATATGTCAATATCCCACTGTTTCCATTTCTGACTAAGCGTGTGGTAGCTTCATTGTTCTATACCTGTATATCCTTTTACATGGGCAATACGGTAACACCACACAAAAGCGTAGAAATAAGGACTAGGCAAAACTGCATTAGCTAGCATGAACACATTCAATGCATATTAATAGATTGAAAACGGGATGGTGCAGTGTAAGAAGACTTGGATTGACTGACCGGTGGATATTTGGAATGTTGTGTTAGGGACCCCCTTCTTGATTTGCGGAACCTGTTTTTAGGGTTTATTAAAAAGACTCCACTTGAAATCTTTTTCCTTCTTTTCTTGAATAATGACAAGTAGATTGAATACCTCCGAAGTGGCTGAAGTCAGTAAATATGATAATATCATTCTCATTGACATAATTTTAATGTAATATGTCCAACTCCAATAATGACAGAGAGATCGAAAAATTAATCCGAACATGCACCGAATCTAACGTAATTGTTTAACACGTGATAAGAATGGCCAATCACATTAAATTCGATGTTAATTCGAGAATTTCTTTTCGGTTTTCCTATCATTATTCATCCAACTCTCTGTCACAACTCTTTTTTCTTTTTATAAAACTTACATGCACTGTTCATATAGGAACTTAAACTCATATAGTTGAAACAAACACACACACCCACCTTTGATAATAGGCATAATTTTGGTTGAGAATCAAGGTTAGCTCGGGTATTGTTTAGATTAATTGTTAAATGTTTAAAATTTTTAAAAAATATATAAATATATATATATTATAACAAGTCCCACCATGAATTAAAAAAATTGAAAAATTAATTATTAAAAAATTTCACGTGAGTTAAGTAAAACAAAAGGACCGAATAGTTCTAGGCTGTGTTTGGGGGAGCTTTCCAACACAAAAAGTCCTTGGATTGAAATGCCTTTTTAGAAGGAATTTTGTCAAAATGAATTCAGAATTCAAAAGACGTTTGGTGAATTAATTTTTAAAAGTCCTTGAGATAATCAGAACAATTTTCAGTTACCAACTTTACCCATTATCTCTATATGTTCCTTTGTGCACAAACAAAATTATTCCATTAAGATGTAATCACAATTCACTGTTAAGCAATGAAACTGGGATAATAGATGAATTTATCATAAGTGAGACCATGGTCACGTGAATTTTTTTAATTAATATATAATCATAATCGTTATATATAATGGAATGGCAATAGTTCACAGCATAGTGAGTTTACATACACACACACAGATAGATATATATATATATATCATTTTTTACTTCATTAGATATCACAAACAGCATTTCACCCTTTCAGAAGCATATGCCAACAAATTCGCATGTTGCGGATTATGATCATCGACCCAGATTGACCAAAAAAAAAAAAACTTTTCCAATCTGATGCACCGCTTTTCCTAAAGTAATGAGACCGTCACCACCATACCGTAGTAGCGTAGCTCAGGCCCTCCGCCATAACCGCCTCCACCTCCTGATGAAACACAACATTCAAAAAATGACAATCTTTAATTCTTTACCCACAGAAACAAATAATCGTATTCACATAGGGTACTTTGTGATGCCACAGGAGAAACGAGATCAATAACGATGGAGAAATGATTATGACAATGGTGTTTCAGCCGGAACATGAATCCGAAGGTCTAAATAGAGAAACATGATTTGTAATTTATTTTGAAAATAAGGTGAATATTGACAAATGAACAAAATATGCCGGGACAAAATAGGAAGTTTGGTTTTTATTACTTAAAATGGGTCTCGCCTCTCGAAAAGCCATTGAAAAAGCAAGTTTTCTTAGCTTTCCCTAAACGGGCTTTCGAACCGTAGGAATTTTTTGAAAGCCCGTTTCACTATCTTTGCCAAACTCATACATTTTTGGAGAAAAAAACTTTTTGGCCCAAAAGCCCATTTTGAACTCCTAGGAAGCTCAGCCAAACACAACCCTAATCTTTTAGTTATGTATAAAGTCAAGTTACGACTAGGTTTAAGATCAGAGTTGCTTTTGAATTGTTCATTGTCCAATACTCCAAATATATATATATATATATATATTTATATATCTGGCAAACTACGGGGAGGAAGATTCGAACAAGTGCACACTCGTTCGGGAGGGGGACTCAAACAACGGCACACCCGATCAGGAGTTGGACGCTATACCAACTGGCCACTAGATAATGCCCGTCCAATACCCCGAACATAGATATGCTGAGTTATGGCCTCTAAGGGCAGAACTAATGCGAAGGATAATGGTACGTCAGTGTACATAACACACACAAAAATGGCTCACTCTAATCAGAGCCTTGGCAAAGAGAACAGACAAGTTTGTTTAGCTAAGCAAGGACAGATTGAATCACCAAACCTAAAACTGAACAAGCACAAATTAAGATTACCTGCATGGACCCTTTGTCTGATACCCCTATTCATGCTGGAAAGTTGCCCTAGGGCCATCCATAGACTTCAAACAGACAGCATGAGATGGTTTACCACCCTACAAAAGGAGGTACATGGAGCATGATGACACCACAACAAACCTGAAGAATGATAGAAGGTTACTTCTCATTGATACAATTGAGTTTAATTGTGACAGCCAAAAATATAAAAATAAAAATGGAAAATGCAGCACCACCTACTTTTTTTATACAACCTATTGAGAGGTGGAGCCACGGAGGGCAATCTCCAAGTTAGCTAAAGGTATTCACCCGGAGCAGATGAGCATTGGCGCTTATAAAGCATCGCCTGAGACTCAAACTTGTAACCATCTGTTCTCAAAGCTATTTGTTTTTAAACTTCTTGTTGCCGTAACTGCATACTGCCAACACACTAATATAGCATGAAAAATGTATCTTTTTGGGGTTGGGAGTGGTTGCGGTAGAATTTTTAATCTTATAAATACGCTGAACAGTCTAAAGCAGTACCATGTAATAAGCACAAATTAATGGCATTGCATATATTTAACCATAATAGTTAAGCACAAATTATACCATGGACACAAATGGTATTGCATTGCATTCAGGCACAAACTAATGGCATTGCATGTCAAATGTAGAGGAGTGTGTGTAGATATATAATAGATAGATAGATGAACACACACGCACACGCACACGCATGCGCATATATATACGAACAGATAGGGAGAAAGGAAGCCAAATTGAAGCAATTGTAGGGGTTTGGTTGGTGAGACTGAGAGAAAGAGTTGTCTGCTTTAGTGTCTAGTGACAAGCATGGAATTCAAGTTCCATTTACCTGCAAAGCAATTACCAATCCCCCCCTCACACACACACACAACTAAAAATAAAGAAATAAACCTCAAAGTACAAACTGACCTAAATTCCTCTTATCATGTATGGAGAAATAAGATCCTGACAAATTGGATAATCCCTACCACCACTCTCCAGATGTCTCTCCAATACATTGTTCTCCCACTTCGTTCACTGTAATACTATAATTTTCTCCCTAACTATTTCTTTATCTAACCTTATTTTCATTCTGGATTTTTCCAACTTCAGGAATGGTGAAATTTAGAGAGAGAAGGTTGTAATAGGGGTAGAATGTAGTGGTGGGTGGTGAAGTTATCAGTGTTGAAAGAAGAAAAAGAAGTTTGTTAAAGGTGGTCATTGGAAATAGTTGTTGATGTTATGGAACTACATGGTGATTGGTGGTGAACATTACCCATCATGTTTGTTTGAGCCACAAAGAGAAAGAGAGTGAAAATAAATTTGTTAGCGATTTACAAAGAAAATAGTGGTGGAGGTTGCCTCCTACATAGAAGGTCAATGGATAAAGTTTGTTGATGGGAGAAAAGCAAAGATGGAGAAGAAATAGGTACGAGAAGGTTACAAATAAACCAGTCGTGTCATGCCTGCCTATTTGTAGGGAGGCTACGCCACACAGGCGACATGCGAGCACAAAGGACTCTGCATAGCATGAGGAGAGTAAAGTTCTAAGATCTTCTAGAGTTGTATAGAGAATTGTGGAGTGTAGAGAGAGTTGGAAGATTCTAGAATAGGAAGACTTCTAGAGAATAGAAAAGATTACAGTAGATAATTTTATTAGATTGTAAATATATAGTATGTGTAGAAAGTTTTAGAGAGTAGAGAGATGCTATAAATAGGTGAGCATTCATCCGTAGCCAACAAGCACCAACAAATAACCCATATATTCCATCACATATCTTCTATGTATAAAAGATACGTGGGAAAGCTATAAAAGATACGTGGGAAAGCTAAATACCATAAGTTCTAGAAACTTGTATTCAAACCTAAAAACTAAAACAAGCTCAAACAACAAAACAACAATAATATTATGATGGAAATCTAGAGATAAATATTTAAAAATCTTAATTTAGAAACTAATATTCAATAATAAAAAGTGAAACAACTCCAAAAAAAACAATAATATTATAATATTAGAAGCATGACAACAATCATATTAGCCATGTTACTCGATCTTTAAGCACCATTCCAACATCATTAAACATTAAAAAAAAAATGCCTTTGAATATAATCTGACCTATCTAACATGAACATCCAAAAAAGTATGAACTATATTTTATTATATACAACGGGAACAAGATCTTAATATTACGACATCAACTCAAAGTGAGGTGCTCCATTTGTTCACAAGAAGATATGGAAAGTTCACAGAAAGATATGTTTCCATGCGAAATTAAAGAAATAAATGGTTATAGATGGAGACATAACTTGGTGAGAGATCTTTCTTACATTTATCAAAATGCAAAAATATTTCATATTCCCAAAAGTGGACAAAGAAGCTGGATATTTTTAATATGAACATTAATATATGTACATTTAAGAAAAAAATTAACATATGCTACATTCAATTATACGAGTGGTTAACTGCTCTAGAAAAACATAGCATGGGCAGTTGCACCTTATCTATGGAACACAAACTGGCAGCAACTAGCACAAATCAAATGCAAAATATCAAGTAATTAAATGTAACCAAGCATATGATAGTTATTTGAGAAAACAAGATAACTACAACTATTATAACAAGCAAAGCAACATTTGTACCATTAAGAAGGTGTCCATAATTATTTTGAGATAATATCTCAGAAAAACTATTGATAGCTATGTAGACACACACACATGATTTTACCTCCAAATAGCCAAACAAGGTCATAAAACATGGAGGAACATCCTTGGATCAAGAGAAGCACTTTTGAACTTCACCTATGCACTCGGCACCTTCATCAACATGAGATATGAAAATGACTAGGAACAAAGAAACCATCATTGAATTCCATGATCCATCCTCGTGAATAAACACTACTTGTACAAAGCACCATATGTGTCACATCACCCATTCATAAACATAAAGAATGCCTTCATAGTTGTTCGGCCACATAGAATATCTTCCACCCTGAACCCCGTGTCAACAAAAGAAAACATACAAAATCATACAACCGCTTATATTTCTGATGCTAAGCATGTTCTACTTACTCGTGCCTATTCTGCACTCAACATGATCAAGCTTAATGATTATGTCACAAGATTACCCTAAACCAGAAGTGAAGGTCCTTCACTTTCTGCATAGTAACCAAATACAATAACCCAAGAAGTTAATTGCGCGCACACACACTCGGAGAAACTTGTGTTACATTGTCTACAAAGCACCAACTGACTAAAATTTTGAAATTGAATGTGAAATTGCAACAACCATGCTTATTTTGGTGGGTAAAAGTAAAAATTACATCAAGAAAAGCTTTTTACATATAAAAATAATGTCCTGTTTATGCCAATCCTAGTTCTCATTTCCATCTAAACAACATTTGTGTAATCAATCAATCATCTAGACATACCAATATAAGAAAAAATAATAGATCCTCGCAACACCTGAAACAAAACTTGATAGCAGAAGTCCTATGCACAACACCCTTCCAGGTCAATGGTGTCTAATGATACAATCGGTATCCCTTTAGGGACATGTTCTAGTTCTAAAACAAGGAAAAGTCTGATTAGAATCCCATTCACAACAATGTGAACTAACCCAGAATGAATGAATGACTTTTTAGTTTATTCCCTTGTTACCATTAGTTTACAAATTCAATTTCACTAACATGTGAAGATTACGTTGTTACAATATTCGACCCAAACAAGCATGTTCGGATACCCATAAAAGCATTAGGTTCCATTTCAAACACTAGCAATGGTAAATCAAATTAGCACAATGAAAGCAAAGAAGTAACATAAAAACCCATCTATACATATCAAAGTAATCATCCAATCAACTGTAAGAACTTCATTCAACAAAAACCATTCGAAACACGAAAGAAGCCCTGAATTGCTACTACTAGAATAAACCAATAGCAATTAGACCTTACCTCATGGTAAGACTCCGAGCCCTAGAATTTAATTACATCCATAATCAACCCAGTACTTGCTGTAATAGTTCCTTGCAGCCAAATCGTTCTCTCCTCTCTCAGAAATTCTGTCCTCCTCATCTTTCAACCCTTCCTCCAATGCCAGCCCTCCCATTGCCCCCGCAACTGCTCCAACCGCTAATCCCGTGCCGAATCCCATCTTTGCCCCCTTTGGCCTCTGATCATACGGTGTATAATCCACCGGGGCGCTCGGCCCACCACAACTAGACTGCCAGTCGAAGGACGGCAGAGGCGGTGACGGTATCAATGTCGGCGGTGGAGGCTGAGAGTAATACCCGTAGTAGTGCCCCGAATTCGGATCCGAGTACGCGCCATACGCATGGGTATGCAGTGGCCGTGACGGAGATGGGAACGCCACCTGTGATGGTGGCGGGAGGGTGGCGGTGGACGGCGAGGTAGAGTATCCCCGGTAGAGGGGGGGAGGGGCAGTAGGGTAATAAAAGTTTGGCAGAGGGGTGATATGGTAAGCCGGCACAGGCGGCGGAGATGGGTGTTCGCGGAGGGCGAGTTTGACACGGATCTTACCCTGAGGGCGGCCTGAGGGACGGAGGAGCTGGAGGGTTCTGAGTGGGTTGGAATCGTCCGAGTCGAACAGGTTTTGGAGTGCGATTCGGAGAGTGCCGACTAAGGGTTTGGGGGTCTCGGTTGGGTAGGAGTGGAAGATTTCGACGGTGAGGAAGGAGTGGTGGAGAGGGAGGGTGAAAGGGATGAGGAAGCGCTCGTTCCAGACGGGTCGGGTGGAGCCGGAGTCGTCGGACTTGGTGGTGTTACGACGGGCCGGGTCGACCCAAAAGATGGCATAGGGCTTGAGATCGCCGTATCGCCAGTTCACGTTCTTGAGGTGCTTGGCGGAGACGATCGTGATGTCGAGGTCGAACGGCTCCGACTCCGATGGAGGACGAGAAGAAGCCATGTGAGGTGTGCGATGTCCGCCGCTGGAGAAGAAGCCTTCTCTTTTCTTTTTTTCCTTCCTTTTTTCTGTTTTTTTCTTCGGAAAGTTCCTTTTTTCTTTTTTCTCAGATAGGATTAGATTTGAAAAAAAAAAAATCTTTTCTTTTCGTTTTTTTCCTTCTTTTTTTCTTTTTTCTCAGATAAGATTAGATTTGAAAAAAAAATCAAAAACTTTTTCAAAAAAAATATTCAGGGCATTTTTTTCCAAAACAAACAAGGGTTTATTAATCAAAAAAAGAAAGTGAACATAATAAGGCTTCCAAAATCAATTTGATTAACTTATTTGGTAACATCAGTATATTTTCTTTTTTCTTCTTTTTATTTTTCATTCCATTAACAAATCAAATCAACTCGAGTTGATCGTTATTGAGGAATATATTTTTAAAAGGGATAAAACAACTAAAAATAAATAATTTTTTTTTTATTTTTATAAATCTATTATAACACATCATATTTACAATATATATATATATACTTGGAAATGTTCTAATATATCTTATATCAATGTATTCTTGTCAATAGGGTGCTCGAGTGGAAAAAAATCCTCTCCAGTTACTCTCTCACTGAATTGGTTCAATGATGGGGTAAAAAAAACTGACTTGACAATTGAATCATATTTACCAAGCTTCCAATTTACTGACTTGACAATTGAATCATATTTACCAAGCTTCCAATTTACACGTATAACTTCCATATATATATATTACATTATTTTATTAATTTATCTTTTACTTTATGAGTCCCAAAAAAAAAAGAAAAACTCTTTCCCCAAAAAGTCAATTTTCCATCCAAATGAAATGAAAACTTTATCTCATAAAAAAAATTAGACCTATTTCTCAAGAATAATTGAGGATTTACCAGATAGAGGGAAGAACAGAACAACAAAGTTGATTTTTTCCTGCGAACTAGAGGTGAACAATTTATTTCCTTGTACAGAAGAGAAGAAGTAAAAAATGTATTTTAATTTAAATAAAAAGATAAAGTTAAATTACATAATAATATACTATTATAAGTCATATTTGTTTAATAATATATTGTACAAAGTAATATCCGTATATATGGTAAAACAAAAATAAATTTATTTTTTAACTTATTGACTTGACGCTGACTTGGTGATGACAATACTATAGGGGTGGCGGCATTAATCACTATAGTTGGATGCTCACTAAACATAATCAAGCGGGAGAATAATTAGAGAGAATTTTTTTCCAACCCTGGTTGGGCATGGTGGAGTTGGATCAGGATCGAATATAACTCTAATACAAATTATAATAAATAGAGTGAATGACGATTCATTTCGAATGCGTTTGGACATTTTTTCTAACGACTCAAGTTAGTTTGAGCACAAGGGTGCATCGAGAATGAGTTAGACCAATTAAGAATAAACCAATGCTAAATTGGGAATTATCAATTCAACTAACAAGCCTAACCTAACAAACAAATCTAAAACATATTTTTGTAAACTCAAGTTAAGCTCTAGTTAGGTATGGGTGGAAAAAAAACTTGCATCATACACCTGGTTGAAACAAGTTTTTCTCCTATAAATAAATTCGACTAGTCTAACTTTGATCCCTGTATCAAATATTTCAATTAAAATATTATTATTATTATTATTATTGCAACTATGTACCCATTTCAGGTTTAGTTGTCCCTGAGCCGAGTTCGGGTGGAGAAAGGGAGCCGGAGGCTTCCATATCAAATGGAAACTGAAGATAACACATGGCACATAGTTTCACCTAATTATTATTATTATTTTCTTTTTCAGAAAAAAAAATAAAAAGTGCAACTAGGACCTATTTTCAACTTAACTATCATATATAAAAAAAAAAAAAAAAGAAAAAAAGAAAAAAAATAAAACACCATATTGGGTTGTTTTGACTATCAAACACAGGAATAGCGAACCACAACAAGTACTGTATTGGGGTGCACACTCACTTTCGATAGAGTCCGTACAATATCCATCTCTGGCCATATCAGACCATAGTAGATGTTCGTCCTTGATTGTCCTGATCTTTATGTGGTGGCGATATCAGACTCATCCCCATCTTAACTCACAAATTTCCAATCGTCTATGGAAATTGATACGCGAGCTCTTCTGATCATTTCTCTCCTCCAAAAAGGTCAAATGAGCCTAGTCCAGGTCTGTAAATGACTGCAACAAAATTAATTTCTATCATTTTCTCCTCCGTCTCTCTCTCTTCCTCCAAATCAAGCTCTTCAAACACACACACATTTCTATAACACGCTTCTGATCCACGATTTGATTGGAAATGAAGGAGCAATACGGTCAGGTTATTCAATTCCAAGCTGCAGACTGTGAAGATGTAAGTGCTTTATAGGGTTTATTGATCTTCACCGTTCAGTTTTCATTTTCTTTAAAGATCCAAGTCGCTAATGTTGCTAAGTATTTTCCATCTGATAGATCAATGCTTGTCAGAAATCTATAAATCTGGGAAATGCAAAAGATGTTTCAGGTATTACGATTTCACTTTTCGTATCTGCTTTGTTATTATAGATTGTAATTTTGAATTTTATTTTTTGATTGGATTGGTGGATAGACCTTTGCATAAGTGAACGAAGAATACAACCTTCTGTTCTGCATACAGTTTAGTATCATTATTATCCGAAACAAAATTCATTTCAAAATGATAAATGGTACGCACAAACTAGATGTTGTTATGAACATTGCTCAATCAGAGGTATAAATGAGAGAATATTAGTCATTTTGAAGAAGTTTCCTTCTTTCATTTTTTATATATTGTAAATGCTCGATGATAAGAGTCCATGATGCGTGATTGTTCGCGGATCTTGTAAATGCTCGATGAGCAACTCTACTCAAAATTGTAAATGCTCGATGAGCAACTCTACTCAAAATTCGGGGCTTGATGATTTTCCATATAGAGTGGTTTGTGATGAATTTGAGCATTAATAATGATAAAATGAATAAAATTTGAATCTAAAAATACTTTAAATACATAAAGGTATAATTTGGAACTCATGAAGTTAAGGAGAAGTTGGTCCTATATTGACAGTGAGGTGGTATGTTCAGTGACAGTTCTAAATAATTGTGAAGTCTAATGATTTTAATTTTTTAAATTAACTTTAAGAATGTTTTATTCATAATTATTTTTCTTAACAAGAGGTCTATATTCAAGCAACAAATGTAGCCTGTATCATTTATGGGATAGTAATGTAATTAATTGTTATCAGATAAAAGAGGAAGTTCTTTTGAACTAGTTGAAAACAATTGGAATAAGCATTTGTTTTGAGATATCGGGCACCTTTCCTTAGATATTGTGTGAAACAACATGTGGTTAAATAAGGTGGCTTCTCATTCTTTTTATATTTCCAGTAAGTATAGTTTGAGATATTGTAATAAAACTATGGATTAGTGATAAGCTTTTGATGCTTGAATTTTTAAAAACTCAAACTATAGTTGACAACTATGAAGCATGAATATGGACACGAGTTATGGTAATGTGGTCATAACAAATCTAAAAAATAACGTGCACACAGACATGTTAAGGACACGGCAATGAATGTATATGTTTTCGTACATATAATTAAAGTATATATGACAACCAATACCAATAAGTCAATAAAATACTTCATGGCTGAAACATGAAATTGTAACTTATGAATTACAAGAATTGAATTATCACCTATGTTACCTAGCTAGTGATATATGTCATGTGCAATCGTAGAGTACATGTTTAAATATGTATTTTAGCATATGCAAATAATTATATCAACTTTTGACCTCTTTCCATTCACACTTTTTCAATAGAACCTTATTATACATATTTTTCTTCTCAAAATAAAGAAATAAATAATTAAAACTTTTTCATGGTTTAAATTGATCATTAATTTGATTTTCTTTATCATTTTCTCCATGTCAGGGAAAGTCGTACTCTAACATTCAAGGCATTTTCTGTCACATGTTTGTGAGGATTAAAAAGTGTCATTGTTTGAGATTAGAAATTTATTTTTATTGATGCATCCAGTTTATGTTAGACACTTGTTTTGGGTTGTGTTCTCTCCCCTTTTTTAATTAGAGGCAGCGGCAACGGCAAAGGTCGCTAGACGACAAGAAGTCAATGAGAAGTGCCAGCATCAATGAATGACACGTGCTCAATAATTTATAAAATTTCCTTCGGAGTTTCCATGTATCTTAGGTTGAAAATGATTATGTTGAGGTTTAAATGTTGCAAATCAAAGTTAATTTTCCAAATTATCAATAATGGATTAATGTGTTTGAGATTAGAATTTTGCCTTAAAAGCTCTTTGTTTCGAAAGTTATTCAAAGGTGTGGTGCATTTCTGAATAGGAATTTTTATTTTTCTTTCCATGGAGTGGTGTTTTCCGGTTATCGATGGGATGGGGGAGAGATATGTAATAAGATTAGTGACCATGTTATAAGTGGAAACCATACTCATATCAATAATGGCAGGTGGGGTAAACTTGTTGGAGAATCATAAAGTACTTTTTGATTCATAAATGTCCATAAGCATGCCAAACATCACTTGGCATCTTGTAGACCCTATTATATATTTCTCCATTCATGGATTATGACTTTTGATAAGTGGCATTCATTTATTTGATGGAACTTATTGTTTAAATGTATCTCGACAAAATTTTGGAGTAGAGACGTAGCTTTGTTATTATTATTTGGAATGGAACTGGATATTCCAAGATTTTTGTTTTCTTTGGCTTTCCAAGAAAATCTCTTAAGATGTTCAGAACTTTTAAATGCATCTTTGTTGTGATATCAGCCCCGTTGGTAATAAAGTTAAATTAGTCCGTCCATAAACATCTTTATGATAGATTTGTTTGTTCTTTTTCCATTATTCTTTAGGCTTTGTCATCTTAATGATTAAACCACTCAGAAAATGAGCTGTGTTTAGCTTCAATAGTCCACAGAATGAGATGTGTTTAACTTCAATAGTCCATACCATTGTTCTGCTACTAGTAGTAAGGATACACATCGTATATGCTAGGTTGGTAAACTATTCATGCTGTGCAGGCAGATATTCTTTCTGTTTCAAAGTTTAAAACTTTTTAGAATAGAGTAAGGGCCAGGTTGAGAATCGAAACTTACCCTGAAAAGGAGATTTGAACCTAAGCCCCTTTCATAGAAAAGGGAGGGTCTTGCCACTTAACCAACTGGTCTTTATGCTAGTATTGGTAACACTATTCTATTTAATCAATAAGAAATCCTTCTATTAGTTGTTATATTTATTTAAACATTATAATCTGTTTGCATGCCTATTTACGTATATAAGTTTGTAATGCTCATATATAACCAAACACTAAATTTATGTAATCAGTTAATATGATAATACATCACATGGATAAATTATCTATGTTCGACAAATAAATGCTCTAGAGACACTCCATTTTACAAAAAAAAATTATGTTTTTAATTCACTCATAAATAGCACCCACTCCGTCCCATATTAGATGTCCCTTCTGGGGAGTAGAACTTTTAAGGGACATGTAATTATTGCATTGTCCCATTTGAAAATTACTAAGTTACCCTTTTAAATTTGAATATATATATAATATCAAGTTTGATTTTTTTTTTTTAAAAAAACCTCAAGGGTATTTTATGAAAATATGTAAAATATGTTGTTTGAACTTTTTAAGTGGACAAGTATTTTGGACCAACCCAAAAAGGAAAGATGGACAACTAAGTTGGGACGGAGGGATTAACTTTTTTTGTGATACACACGTTTTATTCATTACAATTCATAATCTTCTTGTCATTTTTGATTTGTATAACATATATTTTTAAATAATTTTAATATTTCAATATATGAGAGACTTTATTAAAAATCAGAGAGCTTTTTAAGAGGACAACTGGCTTCGTTTGTTTGTATAAAATGGTGGACAATTTATTATGTATTAAACCCTAGGTCTTTCATGGGTTCATAAGAATAAGCACCAAACTATTAAATGGATTTTTTAAAAAAAAGATTGAGAAAAAAGATAACTTTTTAAGAAGAATTTTGATGGATTCATTCCAAAACATCAAAAGATAACTAGAAATAGAGATACAAATCATTATGATTTCCTTGTTCCCGAAAATATTTCAAAAGATAACTAGAAATAGATGTTAAAATCATTATGATTCGCTTGTTCCCGAAATATTTTATCATCTAGACATCGTACGCGATTTTCTGAATTTGTTTCTTTGAATTGAATCACACACTTCTACACCAGAGTGCTAGGAGTGCTTTTTTGAATCCTGGTCGTCTGATATTGAGCTATATTACCGAGTATAAGTGACTTGTGGAGAGCAGTATCGAGTATGGGCACTGGAATTGGCAATTCGTGAAAAGCGGTTCCAAAGGTACTGAATTTCGTACTTTTTCTCTGATTATAGTGGATTGATTCGCCTGAGATGTCTAGTCTCCACGGCTTTTCTTTGCCGAGGTTTTCCATTTAAAATATTTACGGTGTCATTTTTCTTACTCTCTTACTTGCTTTTTAATTCTTTGGCTTGAAATAGCAATAGTTGTTGCAGCAAGAGCTGAATATCCAAGGGTGCATACCCAGACGAAAACTAAGTTCCCACTGATGATCCGTGTAACAAGCTATACCAAGTAAGAAGTGTAGAACAATTAGCTCACAAGGACCACCATTGTATTACCATTGATCAACAAATGCTGCTTCCCATATCAGGGTAAAAAAGAAAACATAGCTGCCGAAGCTGGGATCCTAATGATAGATGCAAATTGTCCTACGAGAACTTCCAGGTACATTTTGAACATTTTTGTTTCTGAGCAAAAAAGGTCATTTTCTAGTATTGTTCGACCAATTACGTATTAATCAATATTCGATTGATTGATCTGAGGTTTTCGTCAAAAAAGATTTGTTTAAGCCGTTTCATTTGTTTTTTAAAAAAGATGAAGGCCTTCCTTCCTTTTCTTTTTTAGTTTTTGAATATGGAATGAATTCTAAGTACTGTGCAAATTGATTTAACTCACTTCCATTTCATTTGTTTTTTAAAAAGATGAAGGCCTTCCTTCCTTTTTTCTTTTTCAGTTTTTAACTCACTTCCTTTTTTCTTTGTGAGTTTGGGGAATATCCCCATTAAATAGGTCCATGATCTATGGCTATAAATTGAAAGATCATTTGATCGACTTTGCAATCAATTGTTAGAATCAATAGGTTTTCAAATCGTTCATTTGAAAAAATTAAAACCCTTCTTATTGGATGATTATGATACTTCCTGAAAATCAAAATTCTTGATCAATGGAGGAAGACTGTCGCCATTTTTGTTCGGAAAGATACCAGACTGGATGATTGATTTATTTTATACTAGGAGATAATCGTTGGAAATCCTTTGATATATTGGATTCCTTGATTGTGGGCTTAAATCACTAAAATTGGACAGAATTTTCAAATCAATCAAAAAGCAAACTAAATATTTTCACCTCCTCTAGCACAATCTAAATGAAAAATACTTCATTACCACTTTCGCATGAGCCTAACTCTCACCTCATGCATGGTTTATGCCTTCAACATATTCAAATGACTGTTTCATGGTATAATCTTTGTATTTATAACAATTCTGCAGAAATTTCCAGATTTTCTTGCCCCTACCAAACTGATACACTGTTAAGACCTTGTTTTATTATATCCTGAAATCTTATTGTAAGTTTTTCTAGTGAGATTTACTAGTGAAAAGCAGGTGCATGCGTTGGATTATATAATTTTGGTGGCAAATATTTTGGCATACATGTGCGCAAGCACATGTAGTCTGTTTTGGAAATGAAAAACAGCTCAAGTGGCTTTGATATGAGTCTGTAGATACTTCAAATAAAAAGTGTCCCAAGTAGGTCCGATGTCCGATGTTGGTCAACGTTCTTAGTTTGGCTGAAAAGCTAAAGCCCAAGCTCTTAAGGATATCAGTAGTTTTTTTTTTCTTTCCTTCTTTCTTTCCTTCTAGGCGAAGTTAATTACTTTTCTGGATGTGTATAGAATGGTGTAGTTATCTTGAGGTTATGTAGTTAGTTACTTAGTTGTTACCAACCCATTATGGTTTTATTTTAGAAATTTCTGTTTTGGTAAGTGCTTCATTATGTAATAATATCTAAGATATTACCTATTGAAGAAAAAAAAATCAGATATTATATTCTGTGCAATGGATGAGTTAAGTAATGCTTGTATGGCAACCAAGCTTACAAGAATCACGCCATATGGCATTACCAAGTTTGCACTTTCGTACGACTAAGGTTGCCATATGAACATCTATCTTAGCAATAAATCGAGACTTCTCCTTTTCTTAGGCAACCTAATAATCCTTTGATGGATGGCAATTATATTAATGCTCAGACATATATTAATAATACGAGTGTCCCTACAGTATCCTCCCTCTGTTGCATCCCTCTAGCTACCTTTGAAGCATTTGTTAGAATTGGTTTACACCATTTGTGATACTTGAGAGCAAATAGCTGCGACGGCTGGGAGTGCCATCACCAAAAGTTGATTTCATGTGTGTCACCTGGAAAGCCTGTTTATGTGATATATTAGGTTGAGCTTCAGTTAGTTATAGGAGAAGACTCAAGTGTTGTCACAAAAAGAACAAGAATAAGATATGTGGTTTCAGCATTGAGTTGGGGAGATGTAAAAAATTTAATGATTCCAATCTCTCTGAGCCTCCATCTGGATAAATGAATGGGTTTGATTTAGAAACCAAAAAATTGTTTATTGAATTTACATCTTTAAATTCAAAGGAACATTGGTGGATTAGATGTATGAGAGAATATTAGATTCCAATCCCTATGCCATTAGAATCCTTGCCAGCTTGAATTTCAAATAACTCCTTCACCCAGTTATTTAAAATCCATACATATAAGCCTCTCAAATCAATATATGCATATTCTTAAAAGTTGAACTTAAATTATTCGTTTAAGAACCTAAATTATTCGCTCTAAATTTGTACTATAATCCTTTTAGAATGATTGAACATAAATCTATTCATTTCCAATCCTTCAGCCCAACTGGAGCCTAGAAGTTACAAGTGGTATAAAAGGTTGTTGAACCGAGGAAAGGGTCCATTGGGCAAATTTTATTTTATAGTAAAAAGTTCAGTACAATTGTTGGTCTAAATACCTGTTTAAACTTTATGCACTTAAGGAAGGTTCCTTGCCACTTCCAAGCTGAATTGTCAACACAAAAAAGGGGAAGAAGATATGGATGTGCTTGTCAAAATGGAGGGGGAAAAAAAAATTGTAAAACATTTCTTACTGAAAGAATGCTAACCCATATTATATGATGTTTCTATATAGTAAAATATTTCCAGGCTTAGCACTGACAATTGTTGTAAGTTTAACGGCCAAGGAATCTAGGTGTTTTCAATTTTTTTATAGCGGATGTTTCTCTAATGTTCTTAAAGCAAAAACCAGGTCACATTTTCTTTATCAAAATGTTAATTCATTTATATGACACTTCAAAATGGGTGAAGTACCTTAAAATTTAAGGAAAGTGTGTGCAATGCCTGCTTTGGACATACGTGGCATTCGAACATGAAATCTAGGGGTGGCAATTTAAGCCCAAACCCATTAAACTGCCCAGACATTGTTCAGTAATGGTGATGATAAAATTGAGACTTGAGAGAGGTATAGAGAGACGTGTACGGTGACTGGTGAGGTTGACGGAAGCCAGTGGTCGGTCAGGTTGGTGGCAGGTGACGGTGGTTGGTGGCTGGCGATAGTGTGTGAGGGACTGAGGGATCTTAGGTCTCTCTAGAAGTCTGGGAACAGATGAAAGTGAAGACTAAACGTAAATTATGTTTAGGGTCTCTAATACTTGCTTTATTATGTGTGTATATATATATGAGGATAAAATAGAAAATTAGTAACCTAAACAGGGTTGGGGGGGCGACCTTCACCCGCGCGGGTTTTCAACCCCATCCCTGCCCAAATATCATAAATGGCCCCCCAAAATCGGTTTAAATGGGGTGGGGTGTGGCAAATTGCCATCCCTACCTCAAGGTCTCCACAAAAGATAAAAGCTTCGCTAAAGATTTACAATTAGCACCCCGTACCCAAAAGAATAGAGAACTAAGGACCGAATGTCTAACTACCCCCAAGGCGATTCCTCCCTATCAAAGGATCTCCTATTCCTTTCCTTCCAAAGAGCTCACCACAAACAGAGGGGGGTCCACCTCCATAGATTTACAATTAGCACCCTGCACCCAAAAAATAGTGAGCTGAGGACTGAGTACCTAACTACCCATAAAGAGATTCCTTCCTATCAAAGGATCTCCTATTCCTCTCCTTCCAAAGAGCTCACCACAAACAGAGGGTGGTCGTCCTCCACACCTCTTTGGGGACGCACACAACAACGTACCCAAACGTCAATCAAACTCACTGTGGACTTTGGCATGACCTATTGGACCCCAAAGATTGCTCAAATCAAGTCCCAGCTGTCCCTAGCTCTGGGACAATAAAGCAGGAGATGATCAATTGACTCTTCAGCCCTCTTGCACATGCAACACCAATTGACACTAATTGATAATCTAATGTCTTCTTCTCAGATTTTTAATGGTCAAAACCTCCCTAGAGCAGTTGTCCAACCAAAAAAGGCTACCTTCAGGGGGCTCGCAAATGCCAAAATCCATTCCATGACTCGAGCCCGCCCAAAGCCACTCATCCGACCCCCCACAATAAATCAATGGACCATGAAGCAAGGCCAAGAATTCAACCATCTCCTCCACCTCCCAATCATGCAAGAGTCTCTCAAACTGAACGTCCTAGGACAATTTCCCGCTATCAAGATGATAGCAGTGAGTGTCCAATGCCTGCCTATCAACTGCAATCCCAGCCAGCCTTGGGAAAACTTTCTCAAGCGGCCTTTCCCTGCACTAGGGATCCTCCCAAAAGCTCACAAGACACCCATCCCTCACCTTGAAATGGATGTGCTTGGAGAAACATCTTAACCCTTCTAGATTTGTTCTTCCACAAGCCAACCTCAGCTGGGGATCTCAGAGACAGAGCTCTATCCACCTCTGGACTCACCATGCCTATAGAAGATGACTATCCTCTATAGCCTGTCTCGCCATCCCAAACCTGACGCCCCCCTTTCGATAAGTTCTGCTTCTTCTAGCCAGCTAGCCGCCTCTCAAACCGCTGAACTACTGGATCCCAAGAAGCAACTCTCCTCGATTGGACTCTCATTTGTAGATCCCATATAGACTAAAGGAAAAGCCCCAACCCTGCATCCCAAGATGCTGGCCAGATAATCAATCTCCTCCACCTCTCCCACACGGACAATCTCGCTCTTCCCAAGATTAATTTTCAGCCCCAAAACCACCTGGAAGCACGCCAAGACCCTTCTCAAGTATCTCAACTGACTCACCCTGGAATCACAAAACACAATGGTGTCATTCGCAAAAGCAGATGAGAGATCTCCATCTGTCCAAGAGGATCCTTGCCCACCTTGAAGCCTCTGAAATAATGCAACTCACCCACTTGCCTCATCTGTAAAGCCTCCATCATACAAAAATGGATTCAATTTTTACGAGAAGGATATCACTCGTGATCCTTTTGTTATCGAGCATCTCACCATTTCCTGATTAGTTAGTCAATATTAGTTCTTCAATTGCCATTAGTCATTATAATTACTGAGATTGTTGCCTGTATAATTAAGTAGCTGTAGAAAGGAGGATTGACCAACAATTATATAAAGCATGCAGATTAAACACATATATTGGCTTAAACAAAAGGCATATAGATGATAGACCATAAAAATATAATTGCTTGAATCATCATTGTACTAGGTAATGGGAAAGAATTTTTTAATAAATATGCTTTTAATTGCTAGCATAGCATGCTCTTATTGATCTCAGCATAATTTTGTTTCAACACAATTTTCGGGCTATTTGAAAGCCTATTGGTTAAAACTTTGAAACTTCAAAAGCTTATCCTTCCTTTTCAAAATCTTATTCTTCCTTCCTTGGTTAGTGTAATATTGACGTTTTTTCTGTTGTTATAATTGAGGGTTTGAAGTCACTGATCCTGCCTGTCTGTTTTTCACAGGTGAGGAGTAGAGAGTTCTCCATGCTTAACGGGGAGAAAAACAAGAAAGAAAATAGTAGTTTCATATTGAATTTTATTGGATGGAATTTGCAACTTAAAGGCACATCATTCCATGATTAGCGTAAGGTTAGAGTTTCTTGTATCACGAGTGAGGGTATCAGCCACTGATTGTATCTGTTTCTCACAGGTGTGGAATACTTTCATATTGTTCAGGCAATCAGGCTATGACCCTACTTTAGAGTAGACAGGAGGTTAACAGAGGGAATAACACTCGTTCTTGGATGGAGCGTAGGCTGCACTCATGTATACATACACGTGCGCGCACACATATAGGTACATAAATGAAATACATGCAACTGGCTGAGCTTGTTGTGTGTGGAAATTTTCCTATCAGAGTGTGTCGAGCGCTTCAGAACTTGAATTAGCACGCAAACCAAACCATAGTATGAAGGTTTTGGTTGTACATACGTGTGCACAATTAAAATATTTGTAATCAGAAGACCAAGCTGATGGACTAAACCACAGCTAGCAAGAGAAATTATCCTATTGCTCCATTTTAGCAAGTTTTCATAGAAGAGATTTGCAGAAGCTCTTGTCCTCTCCAGGTATGCTAGTTTTTCTTATGTCTTTCCTGATGTGTGCTTATGTTGATTCTCATTGTGTATGTGTAGATTTAAGTAGTCTAAAGATTAGCTGATTTAAGTAGTCTAAAGACTAGCTGATTTATGTTTTCTATTTCACTTAATGAAAGGTGATGCAGTTTTAGAGGCTAAATAGAGACACTTATAGAATAAGTTGGAACAAACCATTGTTGAAGTAACTCTAGTGAGCGGCAAGAAAATTTCTAAACTAAAATAATCGAATAATAGATATTAATTAAAAAGTTAGAGGACACAAAGCTAGTGGATTCAGGTAACACATGTTAAACTAGTAATAGTACTCATCGTCTCCAAAATCCTCTTGCAATCTTCTTGATCTCCAGATGGACAATTATGTGACCTTCGGCAATGCATCCCATCTTCTCGGGCCTCACTAGTCCGAATCGCCCGGATTTCTCAATCCCATCTTCCTTTGGTAGAGGGATCCGAGTTCTACCCACCAAAACAATGCCGGTGGAGGTCCCTGGGTCTGAACTGCAATGGGTCCGAACTACCTCCAGATTCAAGTATCTAGGTATGTGCTTACCCAGGCGAATTTCAAATTTTCTTTTCCATGTAGGGTTTGGCAAACCTTCCTGATCCGGGGTGTGGAATTCCTCCCCTGGCGTCACATATCCGTACACACGATAAATCCTACGGTCGCCTGTAGGATTTACTGTCGCCGTGTCGATGCCTTCGGCATGGATTATACTAGCATACAATAGGAATTCGTGCTGTGGATCTGGTCGCTCAACGATTCTCTTCCTTTTCAACTTTCTTGAAAAATAATTAGCAGGAGCCATTTGAATCTAGCTGTCTTTTCCAAACCAACCCTGTATGTAAACAATAAATTTGTTATAAAAATAACACAAGAAAAATTGTTCAGATTCTCAATTAAAGAGATAAATAGTATCTTACTAAATTGAAACTATTAGAGTGTTTCTAGTCGATGTGACGAACAAAACTGATTTTTTCAACAGTATTTAACCTATCATAGAGGTTTGTTAGTTTGAGAAGTGTATTTGATGGAGAAAGTACTTCTAAGCGGTACTTGTGCAGCATAGAATTTCATGCTCTATGGGCTTTTTTGTAGTTCACTTTCCTGATCGAGAATGGTTTAAAACTATGGTTTCCGAAAACTTTTCCAAAAAAAAATTTAAAAACTGCTCAATGTTTTTTTCCTTCCAAAAAGAATAAATATACTAAATTTGTTGTTTCCAATTTCTTTTGGTTGCTATTTCTGCTCCAATAATCTTCCTAAACAATAAAAACGTTACAAACAGCTCCATGCATTGGCTATGGGATCAAGTAAATTTGGGTTATGAATGTGCAAGAGCTAACTTGCCCTTGTAAAATGAAAAAAATAAAAAATTTTAGTTAATCAACAAATTAGATGACTCAGATCAACAATGCCTATGAACATAAAAAAAAGAAAAAAAAAATCAATTCGAGATTTCACCAGAGAAAAGGCTGGACATACCGACGAACTTGGACAGAGAGACTAAACCTTTACTGTCCAGAAAGTTGAAGGTCTTCTTCTCCGTTAAGACTTCTAATTGAATAATGACAATTTAGTTTTGTTGGGCCATTATCCTATTTATATTGGCGAAAACGTCGTTCGAGATGGACCGCCACTATTTTAAGGAATAATTCTTAGTATTTTTTCATTTTTTATTTTTATTTTTTTATTTTAGGCAAGTTAGTAAAATTGGAAATTAAGAACTAGGTAATTTTTACTTGCAAATTATAATTACTAAAATCTTAAATAAGAACTAAAAATCCTTGTTAATTTGTTTACTGCTCATCAGTCAAGTCTATACACTTAAAATTCACATCAAAACACGTAAAATATTTATTTTTTATTTTAATTTTTCGATATTTGACAAAGTTTTAGGTATAATTCATCGGGTGGGGCGTGTTAAATAATTTGTCAACATTTAATGGAAAAGTTATTTTTGTTTTTTTTTTGTTTTTTAAAAAAAAAAATTTATAACAACCAAACACAAAAAAATAAAAATATATGTTTCAAACGAGTCTAGTTTTAAAATAAATTTCGTTACTTAAGCTTTGTAAGCCGTTCAACTAGTAAGACTTTTGTGGGTTCTTCCAAGTTTTCGGTTTGAGATTAATCAAAGCTCCAAAAAACCCAAGTGACTAGTTTTTTTGGTTCATACCTAGGAAAACTTTTCAATTAGAAAGTACGGACACTTGACCTAGGGGTGGTGCAAAGATAGTGTTGGACACGTGGATGTGTATTGAACATGATTAGAAGTGTCTTGAAATTTAATTATTTCTTTTTTGAGTACGATAAGGACACATTTTGAACACTTTCAGGACACTGCCAGGATGGTCTTGTAATTATCTTTTTTAAAAAATGTGATTCAATGCAAGTTAAAATATATTATTAATTAATGTAAAATTTAAGAAAACAAAAATAACAAAACTCTAAATTAGTAATTTCAATTCATGATTTGAATGGATAAAATAAGTAAAAATTATTATCTTTATATATATATATATATATATTAATATATTATATTATAATTTTTGACGTATCCATATTATATTTGTAACGATCTACTTCGCTATATGGTATGATATTATTCGTTTTGGGCCCGAATTCGCATGTTTTTCTTTTTCACACTTAAACGATATGGTATTGTGCACTTGTAGTTCGCTCAATGTGGTAGGTTGTCAGTGCTTCTTGCCTACAAAGTCATCCCAATGTTCATGTCCTAAATTTATTTTTTTGAGATTCAGCGTATGATAGTATTGTATTCGTATCAGGTATTCTTTTTCATGCTTTCTAACTTATCAAACTATCATTCTATAAATCCACATATTTGGACAAGGATTCCTAAGTTAACCCTTGACACAAAAATAAATAAATAAACAAATAATTTGTTATCAACGCATTAGATAGAACTACGAAATTTTTTCAAACTTTCATCACTTATCATGCAATTTTTCGATCAATTCGTGCGAAATATAATATATGTGATTTGTAAGTAATCATGCATATTCGGAGTTTGTTACTTGGTGAGTTGATTCTCTATTCCTTGAAAAAAATAAAAATAAAAATACTTTGGTACCTTCTCTCAGTACCATTTTCTCCCCCTCTAACTCCAAACAGTGAATAATTTAAAAATTATTTGTTGTTGTTTTTCTTCAACTATGTATTGGGGGCTTTTTCTCATATTATTATTATTTTGACTAGATCTGACATTTAAAAAAAAAAAAAAAAAATTAAAGGGGTCCATCATTTAATGGGCTGTTAAGACCAATTAGGTTGTTAGAGTGGGCCATTATCTCCTCCATTAATAAACCTCTAGAAATCGCCCAGATTGCATAAATCCTGGTCCAGGGCTGGCCCAAAAAAAACAAAATATTTGTTGTCCAGATGCACTCCAACCTGGGATTGTGGTAATTAATTGGGATTACAATTTATTACAATTTGGCTCTTTTATGTTAAATAACCTTCCAAAATAAATAAAATATTACTTTTTAAAGCATATTTTGGTAAGCTATTAATTTCAGACGGTTCAAAATCTGTGTGCTTACACGCTGTCCACCAGGCTAACCCAATTAATTTGGTGGTTTGGTTGGAGTTGAGTGGATGAGATTTGGCTGTGTTTTTGAATTATCAAGTGATATTAATGAAGAGAATTAATTAAGAGATCAGAAAAAGGATAAGAGAATTTAATATTTTTAACATTTTTTTTCTTTTTTAATGTTTTTTTTTTGATAGGTAAGACCAATTATGATTTATTATATATTTTATATAATAAAATTAAATTATTATGCAACAGATATAATATATTATTATACACCTTATCTATATTATAGTTATATTGTTTAATATTTTTTGTATAATATATTATTATATACCATATCTATATTATATTATAGTTATATTGTTTAATATTTATTATTTATTATAATATAATATATGTTAAATATATTATATATTTTATAATAAATGTATAGATGATGTATATGTATGCACTTATACACATAATTGCTGAGAGTGTTTTTGTCCTAATATATCTTATTTTGTATTTATGTATTAAGTATTATTAGGATTTGTGATTTTAAATTAAATATTATATTTTATTATCATGTATTGGATATTTTTAATATTTGTGAAATAATTGAATTACATACATATTTAAGGTTTTTTTTGTATTAATGAAAAAATGATATAAATCTGTAATAAATATGTATTATTAAACAAAACGTTACTAAGCAAAAAATTGTTGTAAATTTGAAAAATATGATGGTTAATTTAAAAATGTTATTTAAGTTTTTTTTTTTTTTTTTTTTTCTTCCTATTCATTGCTACAGTACTCCCATTGATACAATGTTGAAACATGTAAAAATATTAAATTAATGTTTCAATTATTTTTTTAATCAAATGTGTTTTTTTTTTCCCTTCTAAAAACACTGTTATGAAACCCCGACCAAAAACAAAACATTTACCAAACAAATCTTTATTTTTTCAAAGCTCTTTCAATTAAATATTGTAATTTGTATTTTATTATTTTTTTTTTCAAATGTCGTCTCCTTTCCTTAGACATCATCATCGAAAGTTAGAAAAAGTGTGCAATATTTCAAGTGTATTTACACAATGATAAAATCTCTCCATTAAAAATTGTTGTGACATATTAATATATTTTAGAAATAAGTAATTATTTTTCACGAGAGGAGAATTATAATGGCATATTAGGACAATGCTCGTGTTTGTCGCGTCTGAGTTAATTTGGTGATAGCGTCGGCGAAAAAGGGAAGGTGACTTGTTTTCTTAACACGGAGCACCAAACCAAAACCCAAGTCCATGTCACGGTAGACTCATAACCAACGCCATAAGCATGTTCCAACAAATACAATTCAATTACTATTTCGCTACCAGCCAAAGTCAAAGATAGTCCGTCCCCCCACCCCTCTCTCTCTCTCTCTCTAAAACTATCCCCATTTTCTCTCTCTACAAATCAGATCGATCTCCTTTTCCGGTTACACATGTCGGACGCTTTGATCAATGGACTCTCCGGAGCTGGTGGAGGAATCATTGCTCAGCTCATCACATATCCTCTCCAAATGGTACTCTTCTATCTCTAATTTACTTTTCCTACATATGTACACACACACACACACACATATATATATATATATGTATAATTTTGTTTGTGGTGATCTAGGTAAATACGCGTCAACAAACGGAAAGAGACACGAAGAAAGAGAAGAGGAAGCTTGGGACTATAGAACAAATGTGTCAGGTGTTGAATTGTTGATCTAAGTTTATTTAATTAATTGATGTTTCAATTTCATTTTTTTAATGCATTAATACATATATTATTGTATGTGTGAGCTTAATTGTTAAATGATGATCTATAGGTCGTTAAGGTAGAGGGGTGGGATCGGCTGTACAGTGGCTTAACACCGTCGCTGGTTGGTACGGCTGCGTCTCAGGTGAGCTCATTTTTAGCTTATTCTTTGTTGTTGCTTTGTGTTCTCCATTGCCCTTTAGACCTATTGTAACTTGTGAGTGTTTCTAGTCTCTAGCCAGTTCATGGATATGGTGTGTGCATACAGTTTATGCTTGTGTGTTGATGAAATCACGAGTGCATTGTTTAATTGCCTAAGAAATTGGGAAAAAAGGAAAATTTGGAATTTTAGTTCAAGGATGTGGTGTGTGTATGCTTGTGTGCGAATGAAATCATGAGTGCGTTGTTTGATTGCCTAGAGAGACATTGGAAACGAAAAGAAAATTTGGAATTCCCCTAATTTAGAGGGCGACATTGCATAAGAAAGTTTTAATGGTTTACATCAAATGTTTGTATTGAGATTGAAGGCAAGATCATGTTTTTGGTGTTGCCTGGCGTGATTGTTTGTAATTTTATACTAAGTTGCAGGAGTAGGGATTGCGTAATGGCAATTAGCTTTGGTAAATTAATGTCTTGTAACGATCATGTGTTTGTATCAACAATTGAATAGGTGACCTTACCAGTTACCTCATGGTTGTCAAATCATTGTCTAGCATTTTAATTATATCAGTCAACTTACAGTGTTTTTTGCTCATACTGTTACTTCATTTTTAAGCATTGATTATAAAGATTTAGGGATCCAGCATCATATTTAATTATACATTTATGGTTAATTTGTGGATTGCCATTTGCCAAACACATGTGGGGTGAGCTGTAGCTGCTCTATTTGAAGAATTCATACTGTTAATAGTATCATGAAATATTTTACATGTAACCCTGGAATTCCATATGTCTAGATGTATGATTTTTTAATGTCCTCTGTTTTACCTTGGTTCCGGGGGACATTATTTTGTCCCAACTGAACTTCCTTTACAACACTATATTACAAGCACTAGGCTAGATCGTTTCACAAGAAGAGGATTAATTACCTATTTTAGGATAAATATGGAACACTTTGCTATCGAGACTTCTGATTTCTTATACAATCACAAATTTTATGGTACAGGGTGTTTACTATTATTTCTATCAAATATTTAGGAACAAAGCTGAAGCTACCGCTTTTGATCGTAAAAGGAAAGGGTTTGGTGATGGATCAGTTGGGATGTTCTCATCACTTGTGGTGGCTGCTTTATCTGGGTGATTTACTTTCGTTTCTAGAATATTTCATTTTGTTAACTCCCATCATTGAACTCCAAATACGGTTATGGCACTTAACATTTCTTTTCTTTTTTTCCTGCCCGTCAATTACTGGCATCGGCAGGTACACGTATTTGTACCCAATACACAAGTTTCACAAACTAGCTTCGGAAGCTCCAATAGATTCTTCCAGAACATTTCCTATGCAAAATAAAACGTTTTCATGTCACAAAATTGAGCTGCATTGCCTTTTCTGTGCAGCGTTTTCCTTGAAGCTTTTACCATTTGAAATAATCTAGTAAATAAATTATTCTAGATTTTATTTATTTATTTATTTTTATTGTTTGACTGGAGTTCTTCCCTAGGGATCGATCCTTTAGGTTTTCTAACCCTCATCCATGTCCTTCAATTTTACTGGAAAGCATACCCTAGTTAAAAAGCCAATCATCGGTGGTTTGTTTCAGTTACAACCATTTGTAATTCTATTTTAATGACAGCCTGAAGTTGGTTATTAGTTCAATGCTATTAAATTTGCTTTGGAAGTCAGATATTGTTGGATGAAAATGTTTTGCACTCGTGTAGGTTTTTTCAGTTAATTTCACCCTTGCTGTTCCACTATCCATTGAGTAAATACATAGTGAATATATTAATGTTACTGGAAGAAGAAATAAAAGTCCAATTGCCCATCTTAAAACTCTATTGTTGGAGATTGCTGAATCCAGAACCTCTTACCTATCAATTTTTCATGCGCGTCAACCTGCACCTGTGCAGCATGGCTATGAGGGTCTATCACTTCCATCAGGCTGTCATATTGTCATAGCTGCTGTGATTATAATAAAAGCTTTGTCAATGAACTGCTAATTATGAGTACCTAGAATTTTTTTTGTAATATATTGGCATTTAATTTTGTTTTAAAAATATTTAGCACTTTTTAGATGCACTTGATTTGATGCTCAAAAATTGCTGGACATTTTCCTCTGTATAGGTGCGTGAATGTGCTGCTGACTAATCCTATATGGGTGGTTGTTACTCGAATGCAGGTAAGAAAGTGGAAATATGAAAGTGGCACAATCATTTATCTATGCACATGTTAAACTTGGGTTTCAGCTTTGGATTCATTATTTTATTTTATTATTATTATTTTTTTTCTTTTCACTTGAATTTTTTTTCAAGTTTTCAGTATTAGTGTCTGATCAAGTTTAATGGGCCAATTTCAATGTCAATGACAGTGGATGGCATTACATTCCATGCCCAGTTAATTGGGTTCTCTGTTATTAGGCAGTTATTGTCAGACTTTAAAAATCCTCCTGCTTACTCCTGATCTGCTGTTTTGAGTATATGCTACAAAATTTCCAAAAGTTTCTGATAAAGTATGTAACTAATGCGTGGTTTTACAAATCCACGGCATTAGCTTAAAAGCCTTAAAATAATCATTTCTTCAACTGGAGTAATTTTTGAATGTTGACTTATTCTAATGTTGTTGGTTGTGACTCTGCTAATTAGGTATGTATAAATGGCTCAGTTACCGGGTTGATATGTAATATTTGAATTGAATTCAAAATATTTAAATCATATGATAGGGTTTAATTCCATCTACTTCAACTCACAACCTTTAATTAAAATTTTGCCCGAATCATGCAATTGAGAAGATTATGTAATTAAAATTTGATTTCAGATCAGGGAATAAGCAATTTTTATATTTATTATTGTCTCTCTGTGTTTTACTTTTAAAGTATAACGAATATATTTTACAATTTTTTTCTTTTTCAAAGCTGGTGATTTCAAATGTGGGGTGAGAGAGTGGTGGGAGGGTATGAAAAGAGAGAGGGAGAGAGAAAGAGAGGTCATTTTCTTTTCTTTCTACATCCAATAGAGTACAATTTAATTGCAACTAGAGACAGTAATGCTGGAAATTGATTTTACAACATTATTTGATCCCTTTATTTTGGATTTTTATTTTTTTGGTGTTGGCTATACCTATCCCTGACTCTGAGGTTTTAAAGTTTCAATTTATATAACCGTTAATTCATTATTGAATTCATGTTTGTTGTGCAGACTCACAAAAAGAAATCCCAACCCCATCAAACTCCATACATTGCTTCAGACGAAGCAATTTTGGCTGCAGTAGAGCCTCCTCCCTATGGTACTGACCATGCGGTACGTACAGCAATCAAATGTTCTTCTACTGATCGTGAAACAATTTAGTGTTGTGGTTGACAACTTATTTGGCATAGGCTGCTCAGTAGGATTCAGTTTGTATCAAAGATTTATTATAAGAACTTACTTCAAATTCTATCTTCTCTATATATTTATATATTGATGAGTCTATGTACTAGATGCTTGAACGAGGAATTCTTGAGGAAGTTAATGTTGTTGTTGGTATTTCTAATGCTACTACTACGATAAATTATTTGTGGGTTCCGTTTATTGTAGATGATTTTGTTCTAATTGTTGTTTTTATTACTAGTAGTACCACAATATTTGCTGTGGATTTTAGTTTATTATATATTTTTAACTAGGAGTGTTTACCATGTACAGATTCGAGAAGTTTATGATGAAGCTGGAGTTGTGGGATTCTGGAAAGGCGTTTTACCAACATTGATCATGGTAAAGTGAGAAGTGACTCTAATATTTGCCACTGTAAAATAACTGATTGTTCTCACTGTTGCCCACAGGTGAGCAATCCTTCCATACAGTTCATGCTGTATGAAACCCTATTGAAAAAGCTAAAGGAAAGGCGTGCCTTGAGTAAGAAGAGTAACAATGGTGTAACTGCTTTGGAGGTTTGTATTTACTCAAATTCCGAAGTTTGATGTTCAACTATTTGCTTATAATTTTTAATTTTATGGCATCACTATTCTATACTTCCAAGTCTCATGTACACCTCTCACTCCCCTTTTTATTATTTGGTTTAAATTCTGAACACATATCTTGATATTTTGCCAGATATTTCTGCTTGGAGCTTTGGCAAAGCTGGGAGCCACTGTTGTAACGTATCCTCTTCTGGTTGTCAAGGCAAGTGACATGTGCTTGTACCAGCAAGCACACTTAACGGCATTGCAGGATATCTGTCAGACATTTGATTTAAACCTTTCAGATTTTCAAAGCAAACTTGAATAAATTTAATAATTCTTAAGTTCCTTTTGATAGGTCATGTAGGTGGGTCGAAAATTCGAAATATTCTAAAATGCAAGGGCAGGTCATATCTTCACTCTATATTGGCTTATCACCGGAACTAGTCTTCTTTCACCATCACCACCTATGGTTGTTGGTCCACCAATCTAAGGTTAACAGAAGTGAACCAAAGCACTATGGGCAGATAGATTAAAGGTTAACAGATTGTTGGAGAAGCCCTACTCAGGAAATTCAACTATTGGGTTTTCCAAGAGGCAGCAGCTTAATACCTACCAGTGGCTCAAAGGACCTTGGGGATCCTTGTTTATACATGTGACACTAAGTGTTAATAAGCTATGTCTAATTTTTTTAGGATAAAAGTGAAATTTTGATTTCCCTCTAAAGAAATTATATTTCTTATACACAATATCAGAAAAAGAAAAATGTTTGGAGAAGAAAATTTGTCTTGGAAGTTTAGGATTGGGTGAAAAGTAATTTTTTTTTTTGAAAGGCAAGTAGTAACCACACACAAACACATGACACACCCAAGCGCCTCCACTGAGGCTTGAACTCTAGACCTCCCCTTTGGGGAGTACGAGCCGGTACCGCTGGGCTGGCCCTTTGGTGATTGGATGAAATGTTGCCAGTAATTTGTGATAAGCATAAATAGCAGACTTTATATAGCTGGTGAGGGGAGAAAGGAAAGGAGGAGAATAAATATTTTAATATTGATGAATTTTAATATTTTTCATAGAAGAGTAATGGTGTTAGGTTGACCAGAACCAAAGATGAATACTGATTTCCTTAGAGTGGTTAAAATAGCCTTAACTGCATCAATACTGCGATCTGTTTGATTTATCTATTTTCTTTTTTCTTTTTCTTTTATTTTTGGTTGTGGTTTCTAAACAATTATTTCGTCTTTGCAGTCAAGGCTTCAAGCAAAGCAAGTTACTAGTGGAGACAAAAGACATCATTATAAAGGTCTCTATTGTTTTATCTTTTCTAAGATCAGGAGTTGTAAAATTTCATCAATTTCTTTTGTAGGAGTACAGGACTTTTTTATTTTATTTTAATTTTTTTATACCTAGGATTACAGGACTTAAAGATGGTCACTAGCTTAACATTCTGTGCAACAGAAAGGAGATAAAATGCAATCCAGAACTGAACATATTTGACTTGAAATATTCCACTTAATTTTTGTTTTTTCGGGTTCGGGGGGGGAGGGGAGGGGAGGATTTGAACACCTCAAATTTTCTCATAGATGGCAAATAATGTCAGTGAAAGCATGCTGTTGAAATCCATCATATTAATCCCATAAGCTAAAAATAATGACTCTGAATTTGATGCACATTCCCGAGATGACTTATGCCTTTTCCTCCTACCCTTTTTATTTATTCATTTATTTATTTTTATTTTTATTTTAATAATAGTATTTTTTACCTAATGCCATCCATGTCATGAGGTTGCATTTCTTGCAATACAGGCACCTGTGATGCTATCGTGAAGATGATTCAGTATGAAGGGTTTTATGGCTTTTACAAGGGGATGAGCACAAAAATTGTACAAAGTGTTCTTGCAGCTGCTGTTTTATTCATGGTGAAGGAAGAACTTGTCAAGACGACTCGGTGGTTGTTAACAAAGGATGCCATTAATACAGTGAGATAACCTCCATGATTAGACCTGCGCGCGCGCATGTTCATGCGTGTGCACTGTGCCCGACAATGTTTGGGGCGTGGGGGTGTCATTGGGTCACAAGTTCATTGATAGTGGAATACCTGCATGAACAGATTCTCTCATTGCTGAATGGGATATAATAGGATTTGTTGGGGAATAATACGAAGCGTTCTTTAATTAGGTGATATTTCATGATGGTATGTACTCATTTTAATTTTTGAACATTGATCATTCACCATGCATTAGAAACTACACGTGTTTTCTGTTTGGTACTGAATGAATTTCTGTGATTCTTGAGGCATAACTCGGTTGAAGTTGCTTGGGCATAATTATTATAGATGTGAAGTTCTGTTGTAGTTTTGGTAATCTTGAAAAGAGTTTTGCTGTAGAGATGAATGTGATGGGCTGAATGGATTCTTCAAATTTTATTGATTGGTCAAATGGCACTCACTGGGAAGGTCCAGCTAACTCATATTAGAGTGATTAACATTTTATTTTTCTATTGAAAAGAGTTTTCTAACATGTTGACAACAGATTTTTGTTTTGCTTTGTTTTGTGTTTTTCTGTTTATTTTTTATTTTTTAAAATACTGTTGGCCAAAGAGAAGTGGTTAGTATTTTAGAATTACTTTCAGCTTGTTAATGTATAGCATCAATTTTGGTGACATGTTTCAGTCAAGGCCTTATAAGGTATTCATCAATTTTAAGGTGGCTCTATCATTCTATGTTGAGTTTTGCGATGTACTTCCCAAACTAATGAAGTTATTTACTTGCATTAACATGATTGTTGAAGTTACACCATTTTTTCACCATGTAGGCCTTGTAAACAACAGCCTCTTCATTGCAACTTAGAGATGTCTGGTCGAAATAGAAAACAGTGTTTTCGCATAGTACATCTGATTCTTTCTAGATCTATAGTGACAAGAGTCTCGGACCTTGTAAACAACAATTATAATAACACGGGAATAAGAATAAATAATAAAAGTAGGGCAAAGTAGAAATTAGAAAGTATGGAATGTCTTGTTTTCCTCAGTTGGGAAAGAGAAAAAGAAAGAAAATGGAAAGGTTAGGAGATAAAGTCATATAATTCTTCTAAACTCTAAACGGGTACCACTTTCATGTTTCGCACACGTTTTTACTTTCAATCCTAATTTCACTACGTGTGACTTAAATTTTTTCGTTTTCGTCCTCAAGGGCTGAGCCATGATTATAAAGTAGAGAGGCTAAAGATAATAAGGAATTTTGAATATGAACACAATAATTTTTCTGATAAAGAAATATTATATATATTAAAAAATAGAACAAAAAACGATGATGTTCTCATATATCAAATCAAGTTTTTCACGGGATAAAAATTAAAAATCACTTGTAAATAGAGTTTCCTGATCTCAGAAAGATTCTTCTTCTTTTACGTATTATCTTCACTGATTTTTTTTATCTATATTATTATTAGTTCAAAAAGGATGAGAAATTGGACTCCCTCTCAAATCTCAGCAATTTCTTTGCTAAACCTCCAAACAGGCCAAATCCATAAAGAAAAATATCACCGTGTGTTGAGAGGAAGTGGCCGAAGAGCATTAAAAATTGATTACATATTACATATAAATTGGGTTGATAGGAAGAGAAAGAGTAATACTGTAAATTTGGTTAAATTGGGTTGATAGGAAGAGAAAGATTAGTACTCTAAACTAAAAATTGATTACATATGAATTGGGCTGATAAGAATAATAGTATTAATTTTAATTCAAAAATTGAACCCAAAATATAGTCCAGGTTAGCTCATTAAAAATTCCACCCATGTTCGTGCTTCCGCTCTCGATTTGATTCCCGCATCGGCTCTTTGTAATTTAGGTTAGGAGTGGACATTGTACTTATTGATGAAATATTTTGAGGTGAGGGTCTTTGTAATTCTATAGGCTCACATCACCACGGTCCATAATCAACTTACAAAGTCCAACTTGAAGGAGCGCAATAGCCCATACTGGGCCCACACTCAACTTTCACGTGTTACTCAAATTCTCAATTGATCAACTCACAAGTTTCAGCTATACCAGTAGCAGAGTACCGGTGGACCGAAATGCAGGAAATGAAGGACGACATGGCGACCAAAAACCCTAAAGAGACGAATCTGTTGGATCATCACTCCATCAAACGCGTTCTCGACGAGTCTGTCACTGAGGTCATTCACAATTCATCGTCTAATCCACTCATACCATCTCTATCTATGATTCTAATATATATATATGTGTGTGTGTGTGTGTGTATATATCAATGTATATTATCCACAGAATTATGAGGTTTTATAATTGATTTGTGGCTTTTCTTTCGTAGATTGCTGCGAGTCGTGGATACGTTAAAGATGCGAGGGTGAGTAATGTGAGATTGTTAATGGGGACGATAATCATCATCATCGCTCTCGTGGCTCAATTTTACCAAAAGAAGTTCCCCGAAAACAGAAACTTTCTCATAGGTTGCATCATATTATATCCTACTCGACTCATAATTTCTGTTTTGATCTTTGGTTTAATTTCTATTATCCTCTGTTAGTTTTTGCTAACAAAAATAGTCGAAAAAATGAAGCATTATGAAAATTTTAAGTCCCATTATGTCTTCTGTTTCTTTTCTTTTCCCTTACAAATTGATATACTCTTGGTGAAAAAGCTCATTTGATTTTGCTGTTATTTTGTTGTATCCTTTGTTTGGTTGCCTAGAAATGGATGAAAAGAAAGAAATGAGGGATTTGGAGCTTCATGTAATCTGTTGCTCTGTTCCAAAATAAAAAGAAAAATTCATTCAGTGAATCCAGTAATTGCATTATGACCAAATAGTGGAGTTTTTCGATTACTAAGTTGTGGTAAATTTAGAACTGGAAATTTTGAGCTCATTAAGCCATTGGAATAGGCACGAGAGATTCAGTATTATAATGATTTCATTTTATAGCAATGTATTTGATCTTTGACTCTGGCAAGTATATTGTATTCAATGGATTATTGCAGCTGATCATTTACACCAAGGGAAAGAATGCGATTTTGTTTACCTATCCCCCTGCTGTAAGTTATTCTGTTCCTTTTAAAATATAATTTCATTGGATTTACTTCGTTTAGAAAATACATTTACATTTTGGTAAGTCTCTAGAGACTTTACCAGCTTGGATGGCTGAAACCTTCCTCATGTGTATTGATTGTCTGGTTAGTGATACCTTTGAAATGATGTGACAATCCTGAATTTTTGCTTATTTATTTATTATTTTTTGTTAAGGTCTCAATATGTTTATGATTGCATAAATAAATTGAAGGGAAAGAGTTGTAAAGTTAGTCCTATAGGTGTCATATGAATTTTAGAAAATGCATGTTGACACCTTGACTGTATCAGACTGAGCATTTGGAGCTGGAAATTGGGTTTATTCACCTTTGAAACTCCTCTATTTATATTGTTACTTGTTTTTTAAAAAGTTGACTTTTGATATACCATTTTTTAGAAGTTTTAATTTGGTTTTAAAGAAATTATTGTCAACAAGTTGGAAACTATGCTTCTTGACTTTGATGGTGTAAGCATGTATTGCTCCCTGTTCACCAACTAATACTAGAGATTATATATACTTTTTTTTTTTAATTTTTTAATTTTATATTTAGAAAAAACTACCCGGTACCCAATCTTATGGAATGTTGATCAATTAGTAACTTCTACTCTTTTTTATTTCTTCTTTCCCCCGTCATTTTACAATGCACATGCCTTTCTATTTTGATAGTCTCTGAATTATGGAAGCCTGGTCTTTAATGATTTCTACACACACACACACACATATCTATCTATCTATCTATTTGGTTTTATTTTTCGTTTTCGTTTTTTAAGTAGGAGGGGCATATAGGTTTACAAGACGTTAGGGACATACGTTCATCCATCTTTGATTCATTTTACTTTTTCCTATCGCATAGCAAGTTGCCTTGTATGGGCTCACTTTAATGTATGATATTACATTTTGCTGCTCTAATCCCACAATATAATCACACTACTACTGTTGCTTTAGTTATTTCAGTGACAAGAGATGGAACTGTAGCAAGTAATTTACATTGACCTGAGAATCCTGAGTAAGGATGTGTTGAGTCATTGCTGTTAAAGTATATTTTACCATGGCATCACTTCAAATTCAACCTTTTCAATATCTAGTAACAGTCATTATGATCCTTTTGTACAATTTCTGTAAGCTTCAGTTGGGTGGTTCTTTAGTAAGACAAAATATACTGTAATTTCAAAGCTTCCTTTAGTTGCTTTCCTTATTTTAATCAATTTTTGTATGTATACATCATGTCGTCTTTTCATTGCAGAAAAAAGCAAAAGAAACTAGGAACTGATGGTGGCACCCAAGGACCCATAAACTTATGAGAAAGATGTTGCTTTATAAGCATTCTAGAATTATTGGGGTTGGAATTCCACGACACAATTTTATACAGCCTTGTTCCTATAGGCTTATTTTTTGATGCCACAAGGGGGTGACATCAAAGATGAAAATGATGCGCATATATATATAATGTTTGATATACATCATCATACACCTGTTTTTGATACCCACTATCTTGGAATTAAGTGATCTGTTGCTGGGGACTAATTTTCGCCAGCTACTTATACAATCAAGGTACCAGGGATTTCTGAATATCCTTTTCTGGGACTTCACTTCCACCTGCGGGCTCCACCAACCAAGAGGGTGTTATTCTACCCACTAATTTGAAAAGGAATATGCCAAGAATCTCCATAATTTAGAGAAAACTCATGATCTGCAGAGACTCTCAAGTGGGCACATCTTGATTTTGTATGATCCTTTAAGGAACTCTCTAGAAATCTACCCCCATTATTGCAAGTTCAAATGAAATTTGGGACAAAGCCATAGGAGCTGAGAATTGAACCTAAACCTACCCAAACCAAACCCCCACAGGCCCCACCCGACTAAACCTCCACCTTTGATCACCTAAGCCGCAAGGCCCTGGGAAAAATGAAGTAGAGAACATCACGTCTCAATTATTTGTCACATTGAGTTGGTTATAAATTTATAATTGCTAACAAGTTCCACTTTCGGATCTGGTATCTCAACCTTTCTATTTAAATCTTTCACACACTGAAAAGTTGTAACTAGATTATTAGTTAAAAACTTACTTATTGTACTTAGACTAGCACAGATGAAAGTATTATAGCAGGGTCTTCATTTGTTCCTTCATTTCTTTTCTCGTTGTCCAGGTAAAAAAAGAGAAAGATGTGTTTGCTGATTTTTTTTTTTTGGTTTCGCCCATTGGAAGTCATAGGGATGTTACGGCATATGATATATATAGTTGCTGAATGAAGGAACCAAAATTGGCCACATTTTAATTTCCAATAAATTACATTGAAATTTTGTAATGGTAATTGAAATCAACTGGTTGACAGAAACTTTGATCATGCCTTCTCTTCTTGGTGGGTTCATATTATGTTCCATCTCGGTTTAATTTGTCATTACTGGTTATGGTGTAAACGAGGCCTAACTTTGCTAGCATGCCAGCATTGACTATTGTTTATCAAGAACTGGTTCAATTCTTCATTGATCAGCTGTGAATTTTTTCTACAGGAATCTTTCGACGGCACTGGATTGATGGTCTCTTCCAAGTTGCCTAGATGCTGTGACATGTACACGCTTACCATAACAAGTGCAGATCCCAAATCAATATCTACAAAGGAACCAGTAGAATTCACCAAAAGCGTCACTAAATGGTGTGTGTGTGTGATGTTGTATCGCTTGTTGGAGTTTCTCAATTTATGATCTCACACATTCTTGCAGGTTCACCAAGGATGGAGTTTTGGTGGAGGGCCTGTTCTGGAAAGATGTTGCTGGACTAATAAATGATTATGCAAGAGAATATAAAAAGAGCTAATGAATTTCAAGCTGCAGCTGGGCATTACCCAGTGGTGGTAGAGCGCCCAGCTCCGAGCTGGTGTGCCCGTATTTAAGTACCCTTCCCCCTAGTTTGCCAGCTGGATATAAAAATTTTCAAGCTGTACCTTCCTTTGATAGATCCTACTTTGAAAAGGGGGCAAAAAAAAAAAAAAGACACTATTTTAGGAAGAACATATCTTATGCATTGAATATGGTTCTTGCTTGCTAGATTTGAACCAAAACTATGGAATCAAATTTTGGGAGAAATTTAGAGCAAAAGTAAGACGTCAAATGCCTCAACTGTTCTGGATGGTGAAAATTTTGGACTATTTGGTTTTTTTGATCTCACATTTCAGTGGTGAATGTTTACAGTGCCTATTGTCACCATCTTATTATTGGTTCTTTTATGTTTAATTTAGATAAATGAATAGGTTTGGAGTCAACCTTCAATAATAATAATGTAAAAGATTGGTTAGTGAAGTTGAATTAGGAAGTCCAATTTATGGGATACAAATCATTACAATTCTTGTGCTATTAGAATCTTTTAAATTTATTAATATAATCCACGCAAATCAATTAAAATTAGAATCTAAATTTAAATTATATTTGTTAAGTATTCAAATTAAAATCCATTCTTTGGAATTCTCTCACATGGATCTGTGCATGCTAAAATTGGAATCTAAAAGTAAATTTTTTTTATTTTTTTTGAGAATACAACTTTTTATTTCCCTACAAATTTCTGTTATTTGTTATTGAGTGAACTCGAATCCACTGTAATACAGCATTGTATGATATGACATGTCTAACAAAAGCAATGGACAAAAAAGAGCATGAGATTAATTGTGATCCATATTTTTTTATTATTATTTTTTGGATAGAGCTGGATTACCCGCAGGTGATGCAATCACTTCTATAAGAAATTATTATTCTTTGGACCACATTGGTGGAGATATTTGTATATACAGGTTGTTCTTTGAAGGAAAACCACATTATTTTACAAATCAATTTCTAATTTAATTGTCTTTGTCACGTCACATAAATATATATACACAAACGTACCTCAATTGGTCAATTTTAAGGTCTTAATAAAATAACAAGAAGATACGAAACTGTAGGGCCATTTTAATGACGTGGCACCGGAATAACATTTCCATTGGTTCAATGTGGTCCCCAGAAGGAACGCCGGTGGGAACCACTAGCAGGGTAGGCTGACGTGTGCTACCGGATCTCACCCAAACTCAAAACTATAATTCACAACAAATTTCAAGTTCCGTAGGGTCTCTCTCTGTTCTATATAAACCACCTTGATAGAAGTTCTCTTTTCATTTTTGCGTCGGCTCTCTCTCTCTCTCTCGATTTGATTTGATTTGATTGTTGTTTAAACAACTTTGTTTTGGATCTTTAAATTTTGCAATTGGATTGATTTTCTGAAGATTGCAGTCTGATTCTAGGGTTTCGGATTGGGATTTCACCGATTTGATTGCGATTTTGAATACAGAAAAAGTTAGGGTTTCTATTCTGTTGTGATTTGAAAATAATTCGCTGAATTCAAGAATGGTTAATCATCAGAACAACCATCAATCTGTTGATGAACGCAAGATTGGGGATATGGATCGAGTAGACCAATACGACGATGGTGTTTCCGATGATTCATCATCTGTCGAGACCTCTGCGATTTCAGCGGGTTCAAGAGGAGGAGAGAACGGTGGTTCTTTTATTGAGGTTGGGTTGCGGGAGCGTGAGAGGGATATAGTTGTGGAGGAAGGGGATGGAGATCTGTTGCTTCAACAGAGCGATGGAGTGGATAGGGTTATTCGGTTTCTTCAGGCTCTGGATTTGCAAGTTATGGGGGCTTGCCGAGCTGATGAGAGGTTAAAGCCTTTGCTGAAGCTGAATTTCTCCGGTGGCGCCGCCGAAGATCGCTTGCTGGCTCATCTGAGTCAGGTAAATACACAGATCAGTACGAATTTCTCATGTTGCAGTGCTTGTTTTTAATTGGTTTTAATTGGTTGTCAATTCAATTCAATTGGTGATTTCCTTAGATACCTTCTCTATTCAACGCTTATATTATTTGTGTTCATTTAACAGCATTTTGAGCCATCAGAAGTTGGTTTGCTAGCCAGGTGCTTGTGTATTCCTCTTGTTTCCCTCCGAGTTGGGAAAATTGAGAAGCAAGGGAATCTCATGTGTCCAACTGGCACAAGGTAATTGCAAATACTTGGATACTGCTTCTCATATCTGCAATGTTGCATATTTGTAATATATATTTCTCCTCTTTGTGTGTGTGTTACTGTTCTGTTTTTTTGTGTGGTAAATTTGTTATTCACTTTGTTTTTTAAGCTCTAATATGTCCTGTCCGTGATTTAACATTTATAACACTGATGTTTTCATTCATCTGAAAACTGATACTTTGATATGCTTGTTATGTTGCCTATAATTGAATTGTTAGTGTGTGTCCGTTTATTTTCTTCTTCTCTTTTGTTATCTCCTTGAAATAGGAGAAAAAAAACATTTTAAAGTTAGGCAGCTAGTTTTAGCTGTACAAAGTTCTCAAAGTGTTGGACGAAGATTCTTTCATCTTGCTTGTAGTTTGTGTTCAGAGAGCATGGTGAGGTAGTATTCGATGAATTTAAGGGTGGCTGCTTAGCGTTTTACTGGGTGATTGTTAGACTTTTGTGGGGATTAATACCTTTTTATCTGTGATTTTTTTAGTAGATTCAAAGATAAAGACTTTCTATGGTTTTTTATTTGCTTCTATTGGAGCTAATATATAAACCACGTTTAGCTAAAGACAAAAGCTTATTTATTAGTTCATTTACTGTTGTCATTCTCACAACAACATGCTTGGTGCTTTTTGTAGAAATCTAGTGGTGATTGACTATATTATTTTCTATCAATTGGGGGTTACTCTTGGGTTTTATGGTTTCATAACCGCTCAACATCTTTTGAAACTAATATGTGTGTGATAATCCCATGGGGGCTTACTCTGGGGTTTTATGGTTCTTTAACCACTCATCATCTTTTGAAACTAACGTAAGCTTCTTTTGATGCTAGCTTCCTAATTCCTATTAGTTTCATCATTGTTGATACAAAAATTTAATGTTTTGGCAGTTGTTTCCAGTGTATGTTTGGATTATATCCTTTCCCTGTCGGGTGATTTCATAACTCTAGGGAACTGTTCATTTTTATCCCTAACATGTTTAGGGTGTGAGCTTGAGTGTCTTATACATGAATTGCAGACGTTTTTGTTCGACTTAACGATCTCATGACTGGTACTTCATGCTGGATTCTGTTTGGTCAGTTCTTAGACCACTGCATCTTGATATGACAGTTCATAGCTAGGAGGTGCATTATGTCATGGGGAGACACCATGAAGGTTGGCTTTATGAATACCTCTTGTCTTATGAATGCCGTGAGTTATTTCCTTAAACCTTGAGCTATTAATCGGGTGCTGCAACACAGTGGTTTTGTGGTGCATATTTTTTTGTATACAAATTTGGATTGTCATGATTATTGTTTACTTATTTAAAACATATATCTGCTTGTGAAACGTTAGTAATTGCACCTAAATGTTCTTTAATTTCAATATTTTATACGGTGATTTACTTGTAGGATGCTATATCTGTAGTAGGTGGTTTAATTTTGTCTGTTGTCCGGTAGTTTGAAGATTACCTTTACTGCTGGAAGTTGTATCCCATAGTTGATGATAAGTAGAAACTGCAGGATTCTCTATTTTAGATTATTGATGGTGACACTGTTCATCCTTCCAAATAAATATATCTTTTTACTTGTAGGTAAAGTGGGCGTATACTATTATGATCTCTGAATTAAGAAGAAGTAAAGGTAGCTTCATGGTCCTATTTATATGGTATTCATCTTGTATGGATTATTTATTTCTGCTGGTTATCTAGTAATACTATAACTGTGCATGATCTCCTCTTGTCTTAGATATGCTTCATTATGTTTTCATAGTAATTTGTATACTGTTCATGTGATTTGGTTGATAATTGTTGATTTGTATATTATCAAGTTCAGTATTACATTCTTTGATATTCAATCCTTTTTTTCTTTTTGTATAATATCTAACCTCCTTTTCACTACCAATTTTTCCACTTTACATATTTATTTTTGGATTATGGTGGCTGTGAGCAGTTGGTGGTAGGACTTTCTATATTATCGATGTCAGTGTTAGTGCGTATCCGCCTTCCATGTTAAGGATTGTGTGTCATGAAACAATGCCTCTGGTACCACATATTTGTCGAAATGAGTTTTAACTTAGGTGGCAGCATAACCACCCAATGAAGTTTGTTTTGTACCATAGACATTTTAAATACATAAAAATGATTGTTAAGAGGATAGTCTTATAGTGATTTGTGCTAGTGGCTTGTATTTTTTCTACAAGAATAAATCACGCTAATGTTGTGTAGATGACTCCGTTGGAAGGACAATGGCTACCCTTGTTTTTGACTTTATGCTTACATTCAGTGGTGAATCTAGTTTATGTATGCAATCCGGTCTACTGTTTCCTTGTCAGCCTATTTTATAGTGCTATGCCAATTGATAGAGAATATTGACATTACAAATATTGAGGTTCATGCTCTATGATAATGGAAATATCTCTTGACTAGTTGATATCAGTATTGTAAATTCCTATAAACTTTACATTATTGGTGTGAAGCACATACCAAGTGCCCTGTGTTGGAACCTTGACTTATGCACCTCTTGCATTTATCGGAGTAGGGACTTTGTGAGTTTAGAGTTTGGGGATTGGGAAGAACATTTATTTTTTAGCCTTAATCCACATTAATGATTGGGCAAAATAAACATCTCAAACTAGCAAAGATAGATGACCTTATAACATTAATCATTAATCCACATTAATGATTGGGCAAAATAAAATCTCTGTATAACATGTGTCTAGTCTCAACTCTTGAAGTTTAAGCTAGAAGACTTTAGTGTCACTTGTAGATTAGCATTTATATATTGCCCAACACAAGTCAACTAAACAAAGCTTTTGTATATGAATTCTAAATATGTATGCGTATGTGTCACCATTTTATTTGTATTTGATTGGCAATTAGCACGTTGCTAAACAGCCTGGCTATCTTAGACATTTCTGTTTACTATTATGCCATATATGTACACATGTATATTTTGTTGTGTTGATTTGTAATGTTTTCTTTTTTGTTGCTTTTTGACCTTTGGTCTTTACATTGTAACAGGGGAAACTTAAATCTCGCACTCTTGCCAACATCTGATTTGCGACTCTCATTTATTGGGGATGATGGGCGCACAGAGAGACTTTCAACCTTAAGTAAGGATTCCCAGTGCTCTGATGTAGCAATTGAAGAAATCCCAGTGGACAAGTCTGGACGGTCTTTTCTGCTAAAGATCTCAGACGGTGAAGTTCTCTACTATTGGTGCTCAGAGAAGTCGAAGCTCTTGGGTATTGAGTTGCTTTCAAAGGTACTTCTGGCTTATTTAGTAGTTACTGCGTGTATGTAAAATGATGAATTGAATGCTAATGAAAAAATTCCCCTTGTTTAGATCAAGGATTTCGTCAAGAGGAAGCCCTCTCTAGCTGAACTTACTGGAATAAGTGAATCACGGCTCCGCTGCTTTGCAACACATCTCCGAGCTTACCTTGTTGGGTCGACAGTGACCACTCGAGCAAGTGCAGTTGCTTCACTGGCTTCTTCTCCAGATACACTAGACTCTGAACTTTGTCAAACTGTTCAATCCTCGTCAGCATCGTTGACGTCTCTGCTTTCACAACATTACAACAGTCAAGTAGCAAAGACAAGTTTACTCTGTCAGGGTGGCCCAAGTGCAAGCTCAAGTTCTTTTAAGGAGGGGCAGCCCAGAAACCTTTCCTTGAGAAGTGTTGATATAGGAAAGCTAAGACAACTTGGGGATATCCAGCTTTCATGTGTTGACAACCCGGCTGTTGGTTTACCAAGTATGATGGATGAATCTAGTTCAAATCATTCTGAGAGAGGCATGTTTGCAGAAGCTGCCGAATCCTGCCTGTTTTCTCCTTTGAGTTTACTGGAGTCACTTGGCAAATCTGCTGTGCCACCCTTATTAAGGCCAGCTTCTCAAGTCCCTTCCATTGGTGCATCACGTCTCTCTCCCTATTATTGTTGGTGCCCTCCTGTTGCATCCACTCTGCAATGCACAGTAGTACCTCCACAGTTGCCTTTCTCGGCAACTGAATCACCATCATTTTTACCACCGCTTTCTTCTTTGCTACCAGACACTGGGTGTTCTAGTGCGCTGAAGCCAATGTCACCTCTTAATTTGTCTGATCTTCCGTGTATGGATTTCCCACCTTTCTTGCCTGAGCCACTGGTCAGGTTGCCGTTATCTAGGCCAATTTCACAACATATCCCAATCTTCACTCCTTTAGTCTGCGACCCTATTGTTCACATTCCAGTTATTGATGTTTGCTCCTCTGGCCAAGGTTACCTGGTGAGTGCAGCTCCCGCCATTTCAACCGCAATCTCGCCATTGCATCCAAAACTCATGAACCCATTGATCCCAGAAACTGATTCTGTGGTTGATAAGGGTGCAAGAGAGACACTGCGGCTTCTCATCAGTAGTTCTAGCCAGACCATTCCACCACTGATGGATGTATTTCCATCTGTTCTTACCAGTACTAATGAGAAACCGAGTATTTTTGTTACTGGAAGCCGAGGTCTTTACAGTGGAACCAGGGACGTGGATGCCATTTCGAACAGCATTGCGGCCATGGGGTTGGTTACCCTATCTGAAGGGTCAATAGGAGGCGCTGTTGTGAAGAGATGCATCAACCAAGGCAACCTGGTGGATCATTTAGAGAAACCAGGAGGCCCTGGAGGAACCTGTTCAGATGACGATGCTTCCATTTTCACGAATTTGAGGAAGGAAAGGACTGATTGAATGAATGCCACATTTGTAATTTTGTTTCCCTTTTTTAGATTCATTTTTTTTGTTGTTTTGTTTTTGTTTCTGTAAGTATATATGGCTGTAGCTTTGGCATTGCGAGTTGCAATCATCTTGTAAAACTTTTGGCCGTTTATGTGCAGTGTTCACCTTTGTTTGTTCTAATTCATAACTAGAATGTAATTTGTAAATGAATTTTGCATCAATTGGTTCTTCTCGATCTTTTCTGGCTGGGGTTGGCACAGCCCCGCGGTTATCACAGTAAGGCTTAGCCGTTATGCTATTAGTGACCCTTGGCCATCCTAGTGATCGTAACCCATGTTTACTTTGCAACTTAGGAGGATCTCTGTTCTAATTGACGCGTACTTGAGGTGACAAACAGCCTGTTGCATTTGTTCCGTGATATGTTTCTGCTGCAGTACAGCAGTGGAGCGCTGTGATTGAAACGCACAATGGAGGATCTTAACTTGTTAGGTCAATTCTCCAGCTGACACTATTCGAGTACTTTGATAGTAGTAGTCGTTAGGCTGTGAAATTTTTTGTGACTATAATATCCGAGTACAGAATTCCTTTGAGAGATCATGGTTTTTGCATGCGACTTTTAACATAAGGTCCATTAAAATGGTCGAGTGACATAATAGGTAACTTGATTGAAGTATTTTCATTCAAAGATTCAATTTTTACTCAATGAAACACTCTTTAGGATGTCAAAGGAAACTCGAATAAGTTTAACGCAAAACTCTCATTTTCTTTCAAAGATTCAATTTTTGTACATTAAAAAGGTCTAGTGACATAATAAGTATCTTTATTGAAATATTTTCATTCAAAGATTCAATCTTTAGTCACATTAAAATGATCTAGTAACATAATAGGTACCTTGATTGAGGTATTTTCATTCAAAAGATTCAATCCTTAATCATTAAACGGAAACAAAATGCTGGATCAAAATCCCAAGCAAACTTATCCTGAGGTCACAAACGGAAACAAAATGCTGGATCAAAATCTCTATCATGGACAACTAAGTCCTCAAAACAGAAGTCTACCACGTAACTCACTCGTGACAATCCCGACAACCAATGTCACAAAACCCCAACATAAGTGTAGAAAATGAAATAGTACAACCAACTACTCAAGGTGACTTTTGATCCAAGTGATTTTACCATATTTTTAAACCAGAACCAGGAGTTTAGGAAAGAATTTGCAGAATTCAACTAGTTCCCCCATATGTTATCAGAAAAAAAAAAAAAAAAAAAAAAAAAAAAAGAAATGTTCCAAAACAAAATTACTGAAAATCCCAACATGTTATTAGTTTTTAAGGATGAGTTCTTAATTTTCAATTTTGGCTTCTTAGTTTGAGAATGAAGTGCTGTGCCTTGCAATCCACAATCCACATCATGGATTGTGAGATGCCACAACACTTAGAGGTGTCATGTCTGGTATGAAAAGACCTCATGTTAGAGCTTCCAAACCAATAGGATTAGCAAGTGAAGCTATCCTAGTCCTCCACCACACAAGTCTAAGTCGCAATTAAACTCACTCAGCTTTGGGCTACAATATATTCAAACACAAATACTATACAACAACACAAACAACTCAATCTGTGGGGCCATCAGATAAAATTTTCAAGGCCAATAATGAGGGTCAGACTGATGAGAGTTCTTCGCTTAAGAAACAAAACATAGTCTAGTTGGACATTAACGACCAACAACTAACAAACCATGCCAATGGTTGGTCTAATATCTAAATTGGAAGCCACTTAGGCATTAAAGCAAAACTAAAACAAAGCTTAAGTCGTGTTTGGTTGACTGTCATGTCGATTGATGGTGCTTCCATTCTCGAACTTGGATCAAAGCTTGACGATGATTTGATGAGTAACCCCATCACAAGCCAATTTGCACACCTAGTCATGAGCTGAAGATCTCGTCAAACAGAGTTACGATTCAGTGCTGTGCAGCATGGGACTGAAACACATACAAAACACACAGTGCAATGGGTTTTCAATCAGTCTTTAATTGCTGTAAATGAGAGTATCGTGGTCCACGTTGGACACCTAGTTATTTAACAATAGAATGCTACTTTGTTGGTGGATGCATAACAAACTCTATTCCAACCATCTAAATTTGGCTATACAAACCCTTGTGTACCATTTTGCTCCTTGTATGGCAAAATAAATTTCACAATTTTAACTTTACCCAAGTGCAACCTTGACATTTACACACACACACAAACACACACACACACAAAAACAGGGTCCAACGAGGCAGACAGCTGAACCCCGTAAGAAAAGACATGACATGACATAGGCGGATTATGAGACACTGAGGGACCAAACCTCAACCAGGAAAAATTGGGACACTCACTCCGCATGCTCAACATAAAACAAATTGGTGAGAAATGGATGAAATTATGGAGATAAGGTGGGACACACACACACACACACACACACACGGAACTACGAACTCTATGACTATATATAAGCCTATAAGGCATGTAGAGCATCACAAATATATGAGCATCGTATCAGGCCGAAACATAAAGTACATCAAAAAAAGTTACATGGTCTCACTCGGAAAGCTTAAGAGACTCCGGCATGGCTGGTTCAGTCTTTTTAAAATAATTTTTAAGAATTTACAATTCATTTAAAAAAAAATATAAAAGACGGGTTATCTGAAAATAGACATTTTTATAATGGAGTTTTCACGAAATAGTTTTTAAAAAATTGAATCCAATAAAATTTTTGTATAATTTTTTGATTTTCAAATTGAAAATAAAAAAGAATCGTGCTACACTTGATGACACGTAACAACCGACCGTAAGATATGAGTATGGATCCCATCACAATAGTCTACGCTCACTTTTCCGTGTAGGTTTTCACGTGTGTTTAGAGTTTTCCAAAATCAAACAACTGTTTTCTCAAATACTGAACCATGCAATGAAATGAAGTGCCTTCTTTTCAGGTATTGGTGGATTTAAAAAACTAAAACATCCATTTTTCCTTTTCCCTCCATTAAAAGACACTGAAGAAAGGATGGAAAAGTAGTAGGAAAAAGAAATCACTCAGTGGCTTGAATAGTTTGCCTTGGTCCTGCTGGTGCAAACACTCAGCTGGGCCCTCTTAGGTGTGTGAGGGTGCCATCAAAATTTTAAGCCAACCCAGAAATAAAGTAGTACATTTTACACACACACACATATTGTATTCATTAGCACTACAAGTTAAAAACCAAAAGAAAAAGCTTGCAATTAATGCCCTGTCAGCATCCAAAATGCCATTAGCTAAGCTGGCAAATTCATGTCAAATTAATCTAGCTGGTGGTGGAATCTAGATAGCAGCCTCTCTGTGCTAGAAATTAAATGGCCAGGTTGTGGTCCACACCTTCATTGCATAAATTACTAAGATATTTTAGACCCTTGCCACCAAAAAAGGAACGTCTAGTGCCTTAAAACACACATTTCCACATGTTCAACTTCTGGATCTTTGTAGGTTTCCCTGTCACTTATGTGAAGTTGTGGTCCGAAAAGCTTAAAAAAGAAAAAAAGAAAAAAAAAATTGACTTGTTTTTTTTCTTGCGGGTCATAAATCTTGTTTTAGATTCCTTTTGTAACCCTAGGGTGTTGAGGATTTGATCTGTGGTATGAGAGAATATTGGAGTGAGAGAAAGAGTTTGAGGGGTGTACTTGTAATTGTCTTTTTTGACTATGAAGATAAGATTAATGAACTATGTAAATCTTTGTATTCTTTACGTGATATATTATTTCATTACAAATGAGGCGCATGTGTAGCACACAACTAACCTCGAAATTCAAAAGTACCAGCTTCAACATATCAAGTTAAAAAAGCTAAGCTTGAATTTCTTCCTTCCATTCTTTTTTTTGACGATCATTAAAGTTCTATCATATTTAAAAGTATCGAATCAAAACTTTAAATTTGAAATAAAAAAAAATTTAGTTTAAATTTTGAACTAAATATCATTTGAACTAAATATCCTTCAATTCTAAATTTAAAATACCAATTTAAAGTTCCGAACCGCAACATTAATTATATTCCAATTACAAGCAAATGTTTTGACTTAAGACACCTTTATACCATGATTAAGTTTATTGACAAGAAGTTAGAATCTCATTCTAAAGAAATCAAATCCAAAGTAAATCAATTTCTCTTCTAAAACAGAGAGAATGTTATTTTTCTTTAAGATTCCACATAAATTTGTCCCCGACATGACAAGATTTTATGTGTAAGCATTGTCCCTATTCTTTTGAGAGGGTGAACCTACTATTATGTTTGCCTTTTTTTATCCCAAGTGAATGATTACGAACAGACAAGGTCAAAAAATAATAATAATAATAATAAATAAAACAAAAATAAATTTCAATGCAACTCATAGCTTCAAAGAAAATTTGAACAAATTAATGAGGTATCACATTTTTGTTTTGAAAAATTATTAAGTAGTTTTGATACATCATAAACAGCCTTGACTCAATTCTGTTATGCGTTTATTGGCGGTTTTATCATTCCAAGGAGCCCATGGTATCAAATCAATGTGGTTTTTCTTACATGAAAAAACCATAAGGGGACAAAGTTCAAAGCTTTGGGTATTTTATTGTTTTTAAAAGCTAACAAAAGTCCTAGATTGTTAGGTGAATGAGGTGTTCAAATTTTGGGATGATTGAGGTTTTTCAAAGTGTTGCTTTTAGTGATTGGAGTTTTATGCGCATGATAGATCAATCAAATCTAAGAAAATACTACTTGTTATGCAAGAAACATTATCTGGTAGATTTGTTGGGGGTTCACCTAAAGGACCATAAAACTAAAACCAACCAACATGTTTGATTGCGGAGACCTTGGGAAATAAATACTAGGGTTGCTATTTAAAGGAAATGGAATCCTCACTGTGCTTTCAATTACAATAATATTTTTACTTCCAAAAAAATGAAAAGATGAAGTAGCTTAGATTTGAATGGAAAATGGAGTGGGAGTATTATTTCAACGACTTGTGTTTATTTGTCTATTAATACAAGGATTTACCTGCAACATTTCATAATCAGATTTTCTTTCATATTCAGGTTTCAGAAAAGGGATGGTAGGTGGTAGTTTATAGATGCTAACGACCCCAAAATAATAAAGACAAATGTGGGGTCCAGGTTCTTAAAATCTTCCGCAACTTATT